CGGGGGGGGGCCATCTCGATCCGCGAGCAGGTGCGATGCTGCTTGCTGGCCCTCTCGAAACCCCGAACACGAAGGTGCGACTTGACAAACTTCTTCGTCCTGCTGGTCCGAGTAGGTCGCCTCGTGCCCTTGCCCGCGGTGAGGTCGACTCCAAGACATGGCGAGCACTTGGGGGCCGTGATGTCGTGGCCCTTGACGCGCAGCGCGTCCATGATGCGCTTGGCCAGCCCGCGGCGGTTGGCGATGACCACGCTCTTCGGCGAAATGCGGAAACCGTCGGGTGCGAACACGTCGCAGGTCTCGGCCACCGTCGCAACCAGCGTGCTCTCCAAGCCTGGCTCGGTGCCGACAGCCGCCTCGGACGGGTCGTCGATCCTGGTTCGGGGGGCCGGCGTCCCCGTGGGCTTGGACTGCGTGATCTTATCCAATCTGAAGTAAGCAAGGCACCGCGCGAACCGCGTCCCTGAACGCAGCCCCATGCACGATAGACCTGGTAGGTTGGAACGCCAGCGATGCAGCTCCGTCGCAGATCAGGGCCCGCGGGGCAAGGCAAAGCTGGAGCTCGAAGGCGAGCGTGGCGGGGGAAGGCCCAGCCGCAGGGCGGCCGGTCCGAGCTTGACCCAGCCCATGGAATCGCAGAAAGCCTCGATGTCGAGCATGGCGCGCGCGTGCGCCATGCCCATGGTGCCGTGCGCCTCCGTGTCGGTTGCGCGGACGAAGGCTTCGGAGACAGCTGCATTCCCGCGGGCCGCGGCATCCAGGGGCGGCGCCGTGTCCTGACTCCAGTCCTGGATGACGGGCTCGCGGGCTTGGCTCCAGATGCGGGTGATCATGCAGAGGATGCCGATCACGCGCTCGCCCTCAGCTTCCTTGGCTAGCAGCTGCCCCGGAACCAGAAGCAGCTGCCATGGCCAACAACCCGCCTGCTCGCACTCAGAGCACAGGTCGAGAAGCTCGACGAGGGCGCAATCGGGAAGGCGCTCGAAGTCGGTGGGGCGCAGTTGGTCGACGCCTCTGCCTGATCGAGGGCGCATGAGTTTCAGGGCGGCCCTCGACTGGGAGATATCCCGCACGGAGAGGTCCTCGAAACATAGCAGCTCGCGCAGCTCGTCCCAGAAGGTGCCGACTGCATGCCTGTCCTTCTGGACGGGTGCCCACAGCTCGTGCCGGGCCCTGGCCCTGTGGTTCACCAGGTCGCGGGGGTAGACGACAGACTGACATCCTTGAGGGTCGAACATCGTCGGCCAGGTCGGGCTGCCTCTTCCAGGACTTGAAGTGCACCGATGGACCCTGCGGCGCGACGATCCGTATCCTTGAAGCAGCGCAGGGAGGCGCCGACGGCACGGCCCCGCGCACGGCGCAGGCACCGCAACACGACCCCAAGCACATGCTCGACGGCATGGATGGGCAAGCGCGACAGAGCGCGAAGGTCCCGACGCAGACTGGCCCATGTGATGGGCGGCTCCTAAGCGGCTGCCCCACGAGCGTGTCGACCCCAACCTCGACCAACTGCAAGTGCATGTCGGGCATGCTCGGGGGCGCCCTGAACCAGTCGGCGACGCTCGGCGGCAGCGCGACGGCGTTCAGCAGCAACTGCGCGAGCCACAGGGGTGCAGCTGATGACCCCCTTGGAGGAGTAGCGCACGAACTTCCCCAAGACCGTGTGTAGTGCCACCCGCCAGCCCCCGGCGTAGCCGCTGCCGGTGACCTCGAAATGGATGGCGCGTTGAACCGCTGACGCCTGGCACTCGACCAGTGGAACACCACCACCTCGAGAAATGCCTCGGCCGTGCTGGGGTTCTCGCGCATGCCGCCGTGTGGCCGATTCGACCTGCCGAGCCCATCTGGCGTAGGTGTCGCCGAGAGGCCCAATGACCTTGGCACCGACGCGATAAGTGGCCGACTCGCCGGTCGCTCCCAGTGGAGTAGAGGCTGGGGCTCTGGCGTTGGCCGCTCGCTCCCTGGGACGCTTCGATATCCAGTGCGGCAAAACGCCTCCTTGATCTGGGCTGCCGCTGCACTGGGGCGAGACGGCGGCGACGAGGTGGGGCGCGAGGGGCCGTGATTGCCGCGCCCCAGTGCCACGAAAACTCCGAAACTACTTTCCGCCAACCTCCTCAGCCGCAACTTGGCCGCCACCCACTGGCCCTCGGCCCAAAGCCTCGTCCGAGACCTGCTCGACCTCGGGTGGCTCCTCGAAGCCCGTGCGCGGAGGGGGGCCCCGGCCGTCGTCCTCGTCCAAACACTCGGTAGGGTCGGCGAAATCTTCGCCCATGGAATGTCGCTGGGAAGCGGCGTGGGCTCGGGGTCGGTCGTCGTCGCCTTTGCCAGCGCCAGGCGAAGCATCAGGAACGACTGCCAACAGCGGCGACTCGGCGAACGTGCTGAGGCTGCGGATGCTGAGCTGGGGCGGCGTGCCAGAGGGTGCCCCTCTCTCCCAGGTGGTGGCGCGTCGTCCTGTGTCGGCGGCAGCAGCGCTTTCTGAACTTCATCAGCCCGCGAGTGGTCGTCGTCGCTGGAGGAGAACCCTTCGCCGTCCGCATCATCAGTTGACGTGTTCGCCTTGAGCGCCTTCGACTGGTTGCCGCAGGCCCCCTTCAAAAAATCGCCCCGCTTGAGACGGGCGGCGTCTCTGCGGGAGCGCGCCTCACATCGCTCAGCGGAAGAGGCCGGCGGCGGGCGGGGGCGCGCGCCCGCGGGCAGTGGCCTGGGCACCGCCAAACGACGCGTCATCAGCTGCTGGCCGCTGCCGAAGAGCTCCACCGCGAGGCCGCAACGGGTCTTCCAGGGGGCGGCCTGCGCGTCTCGGAGCCCAGCGACGCACGGCAGGCAAGAAGTCGAGCACTGGCCGCACGTCGACGCGCTATCCCGCGATGCCCGCGGCGCAGGTGAAGGTCGCACTGCACTGAGGCACATGCCCGCCGACCCGCTCCACGAAGCCGCGCTGCTGCAATGCCGACGGGCGAGCCGCCCAGCCGAGGGGCGAGAAGGCGCAGAAGAACATGGCCACCACGGCGTACCGCTGCACGTGCAACACGCTGGCCTGGAAGCCGTCCAGGTCGGAGGAGGCTGGGGCGCATGGCTGCCTGGGCGCTGGTGTGGTGGCCTCCGAGCGGTGTGCGTGGAGATGCTGACGGGCGAGCAGCCACCCGCCGCCCTCGGTGCCTCCTCCGCTCGAAGCACGGGCGGGGTTGGCGTGAACCCGCCACCCAGCTCGCTTACCCTTGCGTGCCCACTCCTCCAACTTGGCCGAGGAGCGAATGTGTGTCTCTGCGAAGCCTAGGAAATCGTAGTCGGCGCACTCCTTCTCCACGAACTCCCAAGCCTACGGACCCATCGCAATGATGCTCGCGAAAAAGAGGGTGCGACTGTGGCGGGGGGGCCCGCCACGATCCGCACGCACCCCGTCGATGATGAAACCTCGTCCTGGCGCTGGCGCTCCGAAAACGCAGTCGGCTGCGACTGCGGAAGCTGACCCCTCACCACCAGGGAACACATCATGACTGTCAAATCTGCGCGGCTGCGCGCCACTGCCAGCCGCGCCAGCGGCCACCCCAGAAGCTGCTGGCGGTGCCTGGCGTTACAGACTGCTGCCCTCGGGTGACGCCGCCTGCGCGGCCACCCGCGCCGCCCCTGGGCCAGCCGAGCCGGGGGCATTGCGAGCTGCCGAAGCTTCCTTCGCCTGCTCGGCGGCATTGAACTTGGCCTGGCTCAGCTTGGCGGCCGCCGCGGCCGGCACGGGGTCGCCTGCCTTCTCGGCGGGGGCTCCCGTAGCACCTCCAGCGTCTGCTGCTGCTGCTGCTGCGTCAGTCGCTGCTGCAGGTGCTGCTGCTGCTGGTGCTGCTGCGGCTGGTGTTGCTGCGACTGGTGCTACTCATGCTGCTGCCGCAGGGTTCTGAGCGCCGCCGTTGCCGCCCTTGCGTTCCTTGGCCAGGCGCTGGCGGCTGGTGGCGGCGAGGCGTTGCGCCGCAGCCAACTTCTCGCGGACCTCCCCCGAGCGGGACTAGAGGAGGTCCTTCGCCGCGAGCACTTCTTTGCGAAGGCTGGCCAAGCTGCCGCGTTCCTGCTCGTCGAGCTCCTCCAACGCGTCTGCCGAGAAGATGGAGTCGTCCCAGCGCAGCTGGGAGAGCTCGGACTCCTCGGCGGCCGTCGCCCCAGCACCAGCCCCCGTCGCGGCCGCGGGAGCGCCCAGCGCCGCCACTGCCGCGGCTGCCTTCTCCTTGGCGGCCTCGGCCTCGGCCAGCAGCCGAGCGAGCTCCCGCTCGCGGGCCTCGGCCGTGCTCAGGCCCGAGCGGCAGCGCAGGACCTGGTCCACCGCAGCCTGGTGCCGCTTGTGGAGGTCCTTGCACTCGCCTGCGGCCTCGCGGGGCGTGCCGTCCAGCGTCGGTTCCTTTGCCTTCGCCCTGGCCGCCACAGCCTGGGCCTGGGCCTCGACGACCTTCAGCGCCGCTGCCAGCTCGGCGGGCACCGAGCTGTCGCGCGTGGGGCCCCCTGGGCGCTGCAGCTGATCGGCCGCGGCCCCGCCAGCGCCAGGAGTTCCTCCAGGCTCGCCGCGTCCGCGCCCGTCAACGCCACCACAAGGTCGGGGCTGGGAGGGTGCGCGGAACTGCGTCACCTTGGAACCGCAATGGCAACGCCAGCTCTGGGACTCCAAAATTTCGTCCCATTCACAGCGCCGGCAGGCCGAGCATCGGGACCGCGCCCAACGGACCGGTGCCGACGAGATGCGCTGCGCCCCATCTCGAGAGATCTCAGGAGGCCTCCAGCTGCCTCTGAGACTCGATTCCAAACTGTTTGCACCGAATCGGCACCGCACTGCCACCAGCTGCCGCCGACAGCTTATGGCGCGCGGCCCTAACAACGCCTCGCGGAGGCTCGGCGCGACCCCGCGACCCCGCACAAGGGGCGACGGAGCCAAACGGTTCTTGAGGTGGGAGGAGATGGAGGAGGAGGAGGAGGAGGAGGAGGAGGAGGAGGAGGAGGAGGCGCAGGGGCCGGTCCTCTCTGGGGTCACCGCCACGGCTCTGGCTGCGGCGCTGTCGCCGGTGCAGGGGTGGCCGGTGTCGGTACCTGGTGTTTGCCCTCGGCCCCCGTGCTGGGGGAGGGTCAGGCGGGGGAGAACTGACTACCTACCAGACCATTCCACCCTGAAGGAACGGGCTCCACATGTGCTTTCTCAGTGTTCCCCGACGCCCCTCCCCCCACTGGGAATGCAGGGCATATTGGGGCCTTCGGGTGGGGTTGGGCTGGATTGCTGGACGGTGAAGGAGCAGTGGAGAGGCGGGGGAACCCTCCCCTTGCCCTGGCTCGGACGTCCACTGCCCGTGCCTTCTTCGGCTTCGGATGTTCCTCGATGGCCCCCGCCGTGAAAAAATGTACAGTCGAGGCGTTGACCCAAGGAACCCTAAATAAGGAACGAGGCCCCTTTCTTCCATAAGTGAACCTTCGATTTCCCGTCGAAAACATAAGGAAAGCCTGAGGCAAGCTGTGAGACACTTAAGGAACGCGGAGCCCCTCTCCAACGAAAAGGGCTCCTTCTTCAGGGCCCCGACTGTACACCCGTCCGAGCAATGCCACGTCCCAAGGCCGCCGAACCTGGCGCCTCGCGCCGCGCGACGCGCGGCGTGTCTTCGCTCCCAAACGGGAGAGGGCGCGAATATCCGAGCCAGACCAGCACGCGCGGTTACCTTCGCGCCCCTGCGGGTGAACTGGTTGCAGGCATCTCTCTCTCTCTCTCTCCCTCTTTCTCTCTCCTTCTCTCTCTCTCTCTCTCTTCCTCTGTATTTATAGTGTATATATATGTGTGTATAAAATATATATATATATATATATATATATATATATATATGTAAATATTTACATATATATATATATATGTATACATTTATATACACACATATACACATATATATACATACATACATATTTGTATATATATATAGATATGTGTATACAGCCGGACCTAGGACAGAAGAACACCCTCCAAGAACACGAGACCCTCCACTGGCCAACACTCACAGAACATTCGAGGGCGCCCTGCCCCAGGATGCACCAGAACATCCAACATTTTCTCTTTGTATGTACCTGCGTTCTACATACAGTGCGCCCATCCCCGATGTAATCGACGCGACACATCACAACTTCTCGGAACTACACAAGACTGCACTACGGTTTCCTACACTCCGCTGCGTATTGCCACGTGGGAAGCCATACGTAAATACATCGTTCGACTAATGTCCCTCTTGGCAGCCCGAATCACACGGCTCGATGATTGGAGCAATCATGTGGGCAATGCAGGTCATTTCGCGGCGAACTTGAACAGGGGTGATACACTCCAGCAGTCGACGGCTGCAAAGCCCAAGCTTGCACAATGTTGAACTATTGGTGTCACATACACATGTTGCTGGGAGCGCCAGCCTGCGGAGCGTTAAGCGTTCGAGCGCAGTTGCGCCAAGAACACTGTGGACATCGACTCCGAACTGTTCGAGGCAAGCAGCTCCGCTGTTTAGCGTTGGTCAATATATGTGAAGGACATGCGTAGGTCAGCAGCAAGCTCTGCAGATCAAGGGCTGGCAAGGAGTAAAGAGGGCGACAAAGAGGTGGGCGATGGCGATGTGGGCTTGGCCGGTGAAGAGTGATCGGGAAGCGATGGGGACGGAGGGGCAACGAGAAGGTCAGAGGGAGAGAGAAGGGAGAGTCCGCGGGAGGTGGGAGGGCAGGCGGCAAACGGACAGGAAGATGAGAGGCCTGCCGCGCCAGCTCCAGGCCTCTGGCCCGTTGACCGCTTCCGCCCGCGAGCTCCCGACCCCTTCCCTGGGCTCGTCATCGCTCGGGCGTCCCTTCCCCGTGGATCTGTCGGTTTCGCGCGTGCTTTCCGTTGCCCGAGGATCCAGGATGCTCCTCGATGGTCCTCGCCGGGGAAAACACGCACACGTCTGAGCGATGCCAAGTGCCAGGGGGGCGTAAGACCCGGGTACAGGGGACTCGGAAATCCCCGACGAGGTCGTCAAAAAAATGGCGAGGCCGAGCCTGCATTTTGACGAGGCCTCCCGCTGCAGACATCCCACGAAACTCCTACTCGTCAAAATCCGAGTCGCGGTCGTCAAAAAACGATGGCGAACCCGAGTCCTGGCAAACCCGGGTCTTACGCTCCCCCGAAAGTGGGGCGAACGTCTCATCCCGGATCTTTCTCTCATGGCCTTGGGGCCCGAAGGCGGCCCCGGGATGCAGAAGCACGTAGCACACCGCAGCTGCGGATCAGAGCGAGGGGGCGGGCGGGTGGGCCGCGGGGCGCGTCTCGCGGGGGTGACGGCGACAACGACCGAACAGCGCAACGCAACGACAACAAGAGGAGCCCGCGCAACGGAATCACGCTTCAGCCATGCACCCAAGGACAATGAATGATCGCTCGGCCCCCTCGCCCTGACAAAACAACGCCGGGATTGACCAGCCTGATCCGCCAGAGGCCTGGGGCTGCGGCGGAAACCTTGCGAGCGGCGTACCTCTGCCGCGTCGCAGCGTGTCGGGGATTGGCAGCGCCTTCGAGCAGCGGGGCAGAGCAGCAGGACGACTGCGCAGGGGAGTTGGGCTGGCACTTGCCGCACCTCCTCCTCCTCCTCCTCCTCCTCCTCCTCCTCCTCCTGCATGTCCCTTGTCTGGCCCTCCTCGCCTTCATTGTATGATGCTTCTCCCTCCATTCATCCTCCTCCTCCTCCTCATCCTCCCCCCCCACTCCGCCTCCCCCGCCCCCACCGCCCCCCTTCCCCTCTCCACCCCCTTCCCCTGCAGGCATCACCCCTCACGACCCTTCTCCCCGCCCCCGCCCTCGACCCTTCGCACCCTCGCCCCTTTCGTAACCCTTTCGGATCCGTCTCCGTATTCGCCCAGAGCCGCTTCCGCTCTTGCTCAAACATCGCCCTGGTCCTCCAGCTGATGCGTCTGCGCCTGCTTCTCCTCCTGCCGATCATTCTGCTCATCTACCTCCTGGCATCTGACCTCCTCTTCTTCCTGCCCGCCCCACCCTCTTTCGACGCAGGGCGAGGAGGGCAGCTAAGAGGGGGGAGGTCGGAAGCAGCTACTCCCAACGTCGCGAGGGACACCCACGCAGCTGAGAAGAGTCGGCACTGTCTCGGCCCGTCTCCTACGTCCTGCGAATGCTGCCTCCTCCTCATGCTGCTGTTCCTCCTCTCCTCGTCCTCCTCTTGCTCCTTCCTCCTTTCTCCTGCTCCCGCTCCTGGGCATGCTCTCCCCGACTTCCCCGCCTTCACCTCCCCTCCCGCCCTTCCTTTCCCCTCCCCTCTCCCCGACTTCTCATCCCTCGCCCCCTCCCTCCCCTCTCCCTCCCTCTCCTCCCCTCCCCTCCCCCCTCCCAACCCCCCCCTCCCCTCCCTTCCCCCGCCCGTCCCTCCACCGCCCCTCCCTCGGCGGGGCCCAAAATGATCCCACGCGGAATCGGCAACGACCCCCCCTCCAAGGATTTGCCAGCTAACCGATGGCAACCCTCGCAAAACGAGCTCGGCGCTTCGGCAGTTTTGTTCGGCACCGCATCGCGGTGGGACCCATGCCGTTCATTTCCACCTCCCCCTCCCTCGTATCTAGGCCTCCTGAGGCCTCCCTCCGCCTCCACGGGCCTCCTGGGGCCTCCTGAGGCCTCCTGGGGTCGCCCCACCCCCTGTCTGGTACGTGGTTGTGGTCGCCCGTACCCCCCCTCCCTCATTCTCCGCCCCCCCCGCCCCCCCCACTTCCTCCCTCATTCTTCTCCCCCTCCATCAGTCCTCCCTCCCCCTCGTACCCCCCCCCTCCCACCCCGTCCTCATTCCTCCCTCGCCCCCCCTCCCCCCTCCCGCCGCACCCCCTCCCCCCCACCCCACCCCCTCCCCCCTCCTCCGTCCCCCGCTTCTGCTGCCCCTCCTTCGTCCCCCGCCCCTCCTTTCCCCCTCCGCCCCCCCCCCCTCCCAGCTCCTCCCACCGCCCATGCCTCCACCTCCCCGCCAACCTCCCCCCCCCCTCCCTCGCTCCTGCCTCGTCCCCCCTCCCCCCCTCCTCCTCCAAGCTCCACCGCCCCCTGCCCTGCCCCCGCTTCCCGCCTCCCCGCTCCGTGCTCCCCCCCTCCCCCTTCTCGTTCGTCCCCGCACCGCCCGTCTCGAGCCCCACCCCCTCTCCCAAATCCCACGTCGCTCCCACCCCCCAAACGTTCGCAGTTCCGCGTGCTCGTCGATCCTCCCCCCCCTCATCCCTCCTCGCCTCCCCCCCCACTCTTGCACTGCCGCCTCTACTCCTCCCACTGCTGCTCCTGTCTCTTCACTTCGCGCTTCTGCTCAAGCTGTTGCGACTCCTCCTGTTTCACCGACTCCCCACAATCACATTGTCATCAGCATCATCATCAGTATTAGCATCATCATAATCATAATCATCATCATCATCATCATCATCATCATCATCATCATCATCATCATCATCATCATCATCATCATCATCAGCATCAGCATCATCATCACCATCACCATCACCATCACCATCACCATCACCATCACCATCACCATGATCATCATCACTATCATCAGCATCATCATCATCATCATCATCAGTATCATCATAATCATCACCACCACCAACATCATCAGCATCATCAACATAAGCATCATCATCAGCATCAGCATCATCATCGTCATCGGCATCATCAGCATCATCATCATCATCATCATCATCATCATCATCATCATCCCTTTCCACGTCCCGCTCCGCATCCTCTTTCGCGCCCCCTCCTCCTCCTCCTCCTCTTCCTCCTCCTCCTCCTCTTCCTCCTCTACAGAGACCGATATCGGCTTACCTCCATCCGCCTCCACACTTCCAGACCTCGCCACGAGCCACGTACAGTGCAGCAACAACCTCTTTAATGCCATACAGCGAGCAACATGCAACGAAAATGTGAGACAACCGTCGGAACAACGAATGATACTTCCATACCGTCCAGAGATAAGCTGACGCACGGAATAACAATATCTCGACTCGGCGGTGATGAACGAGGGTGGATATTGATAGTTCGTGAGGCTACGACATCGCGTGCCATCAGCGTGGTTCATATGAACGGGTACCTTTTCGACTCAAACAAACCTTGCGTGCTTCCGGCATTCCTGCAGTTCACACGTGTATGCGGCAGAGTGTTACAACTGTTCGATTGGCCGAGCACCCGATACACCCATTGCGTCTGAACGCACCGCACAAGGACGCACTGCAAAGGGTTCGCACAATCACTCGTCGCTCGGGACCATGCGTGTAAGAAGTGGCGGCATGCAAAGGGGGTGGCGCGAGGCGGCCAGCCATTTAAAAAGGCAGGGGGAAAGTCTCATCAGAAGCTACCTCGCCCTCTACCAGGCTTAGGAGGCAACACTACTGGGAAGTCTTTGTCCGAAAGGTTAGGGGAAATTAAACCCCATTGGAGGGCTGTTGCTCCGTTTTAGGCCCCGGATGAAGTAGGATGAAGCGGGATTGGGCCGGATTAAGCGGGATGAAAGCGGATTAAGCTGGATTGCGACTGGTGCACAATCAGAATTTGATATCCCGGGAGTTGCATCCGAACTATCGGGCCTTCTGCAGGAGCCCCCTGCTTCCTTAGGCGGCCGCCCCCTCGCCCCACCCGCGCCTCTGAACATCGCCAAGAGAAGCAGGCGCAACCAGGCTGGCCTTGTAAGGGCCCGCCTCGGAGCGGGCGGACTCCAACAGCGGAAGCATGCATCGAAGGTTCGGACAGACGAGTGAGAGACGTTCCTCCTCCTTCTTTCGTCCTCCTCCCCCGTCCCCCTTCCGATTCCACCTCTGCCCCCCCCTCCCCTCGCCTCCGCCTCCTCGTCCTCCCTCCACCCTGCTCCCCATCCCTTCTCATCCTCCCTCCACCTGCGTCCTCCTCCTCCTCCTCCTCCTCCACCTCCGTCCAACCACCTTCTCCTCCTCCAGAAATGCCAGGTCTCCCGAGGCATCCGAAGGTCGCCAGAGGCCGGATGTCTCCAGAGACCACAAAGTGAGCCATCCAGCTTATCGAACGCCGATCAACACAAACTGTCCAAACAGATTCATCCTGACAGCGCCACCCCACCCCGATGGGCATGCATGAAGCCCAGACTCGGACCGATGCAAAACCATTGCGGTGTCATCAAGGTGTTCCTTCGCCCGTCTGCGCAGAATCTATAGCTGTCTTGCAAAGGAGTTCGTGCTTCTTTTTGCGCGCGCTGAGAGAAACACCGGTGACCGAGCACCCATCTCGGTGGGGCCGATCCTGACGATGCACGCACGCACGACGCCGAAGCTCGGCCACGAATGTGGCGACAAACGGGCGGCGACCCCAGAGGAGCCCGACGAGCGTCTGGTGCAGGCATCGATCCCCGCGTGAGCGACGATCCGAAACAAGCCTTGCGCGAGATGGTAGAACGCGACCTATCACCCGGCGGCTCACGCGGGCCGCCAGCTCGGCACACCGCGCGGGGGAACGAGGGCGCTGACGCGCGACCGTACGCGGGCAACTTGCGCGCGAATGTCGGCGCAGACGACCCCGTTTTCTTCCGTCGCTCACGTGACTGAGCGCATCGCGCGCGAGGTGGCCAGGGGCCCAATACCCAGACCTCCGATATCGTGACTTGTTCAACCCCGTGGTTTTGAGTGCCCGCCCCAAGATGACCCCGGCAGGCCCAAACGTTGCACAGAAAACCCAGTATTGCCCCAAGGATCCCGGCAATAATCTCAAAGGCCAAGGGGAAATGTCCAACCAACGGCCGCCAATACAATTATACATTATCCGAACGAGGGGGCCGAATCGTCTTTCACTACCCCTGAATGTGTGGCTGAAGTAGAGTTCCGTGTGCGGATTGTTGTTGCGTTGGTGCGTCACGTTGTTGCATTGTTGTCGTCGTCCTCGCCTGCGACCGCCCGCGACCTGCCCGCCACCCATCCCGCGACCACCCGCGACCCGCCCTGTGATCCAGCCGCGACCCACCCACGTGGCTGAGACGAAACCATCGGCGCATGCGGCGGGCTCGTTGCGCAATGTGTAAACAAACCTGCCTCTGCGTAGGGCTTCTTCAGAGCTTCGCAGACTGCCGACGACCCCGCTGCCCCTTCACTCTTATCAGCAGTGGCGAGGCGCTGTGTATTGCCACGGCCAAGCGGCAGAGGGGAAAATTATGAACATTCTTCAGGTAGCGCATGGCGGGATGAGTATGCCATGGGCACATCACCCTGCCAAATGAGTTTCACCGAAGTGTCCTGGGCCTAAAAAGACTCAAGGGCCACTGGCGGGGACAATGCTCAGGTCGTTTCTGCTTCGCGGCGCTGTTGGGACCGAATCTGCCACCATGCCTCGAAAAAGTGGACGGAGTGCCCTCAAGTCCCTTCGAGCTTTCTTCGGTTCATTTCAAAGTCACGGGCCCACGAGTTCAAGAACTTCTTGGGCGCTTCCCGGGCAGATGGCGCGACTTATAGCTGGAGGCCTCGGGAACGTGAGCAGGAGTCTTCAGGTCCCACGTGCCCCTGTATGGCCCAGTAGACCAACCTGAGACTCTCTCTCTCTCTCTCTCTCTTGGGGGCCTCCTGGCCCGTTTTGGAGTACCACGGGGGAAGGCGGCCTCAGAGGCAAACATGACTGTAAGGCAGCCAGCTGCTGTATGACCTCAGGACTCTCGCTGACGGCCCTCAGGACATCCAAGACGTCCCAAGAGGCCCCCAGGAGTGCCGCAAGAGGACCCAAGAGGCTCCAACGAGGCCCCCGAGGGAGGCCCAACCCAAGGGACATCCAAGAAGCTTCTTGTCCACGATCCAGGCACGGTGACGGGATGGGCCGAAGGCCACTAGATATTTACGCATGGCCAGCTAGGGTTCATGGACGATGGCAGCATGGGATCTGTGGCCCAGCAGAAGCACCACGATACGCAGTACGAAGAGGTCTACTCTAGACATTCGGCAGATCGATCCACGAAGGCTTGCGCTCACTAGTAGCAGGTGGGGGCACGGGCAAGGACCTTCACAAGAGTCCTGAAGGAAGGGAAGCAGGAGGAGGGAGACAACGGGAGCGGTTGGCTCGGATATCAGATTCAACCAATTTCAGCTGGACAACATCTGGCGCACACCGACCACCAGACTGGTGTACGTTGCGAGGGGGAGCCGCCGACGGCAAGCAGCAGGACACGGGAGGGCAGGCGTCCTGCATGTTGGCGCCCTTGGCCCTTCGGTTCCGGTAGAGGAGCTCCGCTATGCCAACGAGCGTCTCCTGCGCGGGGCACCGTGCCCGACGGCGAAAAAAAGTTTATTTCATACCCTTCTCCGCTCGCTGACGTGTAGCAGGCGCCTCGACGCTTGGCCACACACTCCTCGCTTTCGACGGCGTCCTCATCCCGCCTCGCGCCAGCACTCGTGAGCGAAAACGCTGCCCGTGCCCTCGTCGTCGTCGTCGTCGTCATCGTCGTCGTAGTCGTGGCCGCCGTAGTCGTCGTCGTCGTCGTCGTCGTCGTCGTCGTCGTCGTCGTCGTCGTCGTCGTCGTCGTCGTCGTCGTCGTCGTCGTCGTCGTCGTCGTCGTCGTCGTCGTCGTCGTCGTCGTCGTCGTCGTCGTCGTCGTCGTCGTAGCCCGCGGGCCGCGGCCCCTCGGCCGCGGCCCGCGGGCGGACACGGGGGGTGCCCTCGTTGCCCGGGAGCGCCCCGCGCGGGCGGGCCTCCGTGCGCGGGAGGCGCGCCCGCAGGGTCGCGCCCCGGGGGAGCCAGGGCCGCGAGGGCTCGGACTACGGCAGGCGCTCGACCACGAGAAACCTTGGATCAGGGGGACGTAAGACCTGGGCACAAGGGACTCGGAAATCCCCGACGAGGTCGTCAAAAAAATGACGAGGCCGAGCTTGCATTTTGACGAGGCCTCCCGCTGCAGACATCCCACGAAACTCCTCCTCGTCAAAATCCGAGGCGCGGTCGTCAAAAAACGATGGCGAACCCGAGTCCTGGCAAACCCGGGTCTTGCGCTCCCCCGATTGGAGGCCTGGAAATTTCCTCCAACACCAGCACAGGGGGGTTGCCTCCACATGGGGAGGATGATCCTAGATTTCGGTGTTGGTGGTACTTTTTCGGTCACCTTGGAAGCCACAATATTACCACCATCACCGAGATTGGGATCGACTTCCCTCGGAGGAGGCACACCGCCGATCTTGGTGTTGGTGTCAACACCTCTAGGCCCGCGAAAACCTTCCACACGGGACCCCACCCTGAGACCCCAGGACGTCCACTGACTTCTGGGACGCTCTCCCACATAGCGAAGCCGTCGAAGCCCAGGACCCCCCGGGGCACCCCGGAGGCAGGCAGGGTGTTTCTTTTGGCGTGGGGTTCCACTGCGCGCATGTCTTTGCCTCTCGTGAAGCTTGTAAAAAAGGCTGCCGATGCGATGCGATGCGATGCGATGCGACGGCCCTTGGAGGCAGGAGGGGAGGCCCGCCTGCTCCGGCAGTGCGCCGGGCCGCAACAATAATGAACATCATATGATTACAGAGGGCAATGAGGGACGTGCAAGATGGGAAGAAGGGTGAGACAACAGGGAAAAGACAAGAGCACGTGTGGCTATGCACGAGAATCAATCGAGTGAAGGCGCTGCGAGAGACGAACGACTGCACAGGCGATGCGCACCGTCGCTGCGCTGCCCGACCTGTGCGCGCCTTCGCCCCCGCAGCAACTCAGGCCCCTGCAGCGCACGGCCGCTCGGACCGTCCCCGCGCAGCCGTGGTTCGCTCCGGCGGACGCGTGGGCCTGGATGACATTAGGGTGATGCTCTGTTCCTGATCGGGGGAGGAGGATCCTTACACCCTGCGAAATGCTGAAGAAATCATGGGATAAGAAATTCATAGTCTCAGAAATTGAATAAAACCCAGAACTTCTATCAAAATCTTGGGATTTACATTGAAACGGTAAGAATAATCGAGACTCTGGCCGAAAACTTCGGTTTTCTTAAGCATCGCATGAGGTGTAGCTATCAAAGAGAGGGGGGAGCAGGACTGGGAGGCGAACCGCTCTGGCTGACGCGCGGCCCTGGATGAAAAGAAGGGGGATGCTCGTTTCCTGATCGGGGGAGGGGGATCCTTAGCTATAAAAGGGGGGGAGCAGGACTGGGAGGCGAACAAAGGGAGGGGAGAGAGGTGGAGGGGGGGGGGAGGTGGAAAGAGGTGGAGGGAGGGCCCCCGAGAGGCCCCCAAGGAGGCTCCCAGGAAGCCCCCAGGAGGCCCCACGAGGGCCTCAAGAAACCTCATCTGCTTCTTCTTCGTCTTGTTGTTGTTATTATTATTATTATTCTCCTTCTTCCTCCTCCTCCTCCTCCTCCTCCTCCTCCGTCTTTTCTCCTGCTCCTCTTCCTCCTCCTCGCTCTTCCTCTCTGTAGTGTTCCCCCCCAGGGGGGCTCCACAACGACTGGGGGAACACATAGCCCAATAGCTTGGCAAGACTTCGGCCCAACGCATGACCGACTGGGCGTTTTCAAAAAAAGCATGGGGCGGCGGCGATTCGCAGTAGGCTTATTCGGTAAGCGGCTCCTGATGCAACTTTTATGATATACCCTCCGTTCGCGAGACAAGATGGCGGGATGCGTACGCGCAAAGGTGAAACTGAAGAAGGGGAGGCGTACAAGAGCTAGAGAGGCTGTCAGCCCACAAGGGCCATGGCTGAGACAGATCTCCTCTGCTATCTGGCAGCTGGTGAGCTGGCAGTCGAACAGCGTGGTGTTCATCTGCAAGGCTGTCCAGATCGAGTGACCACCTGCCGTCAAGTTACACGAGTCCCCCATCCAGCGAATTCGTTGCCCAGCTCCTGCTCATCCACCACCTTGCCCCTTCTACCTCTTCCATCACCATGAACAGCTACACACTACGATGTGTACCCTCCCTCTCTCCTCTCTTCTCTCTCTCTCTCTCTCTCTCTCTCTCTCCCCTCACCGCGTCCTTGACGTGTCCCGCCCTCTCCGTGTGCTCTTGCTGACGGACAAGATCTCAAAGCGCGGCGCTCCCGATGGATTGCTCTATCGGAGCGCGCTCGGTGCCTCCGCACGGTGCCTCCGCACGGTGCCTTTCGTTTTCGTTCTCGTTTTGTTTTCGTTGTCCCTCGTGTTGTCTTCAATCAGCCTTTGCTGCAAAACGAAACCGAAACGCAAACGGCCCACGATCCGGCCTACCCACGGCCGAAACGAAAACGGAAACGACGGGAAACGAAACCGCAATCGCCAAAACACCGGTTAGATCGACCCCCGCATGGTGCTACTGCTGCAGCGCTGGCCTCATCTTAGGATCGGCGCTTTGCTCCCGTCGTTCAGGATGGCGCTCTCGCCAGCGCGGACCAAACTTGTGAATCCGAACCATTCCTCGTCGTTGTTGCCCCGCTCTCGTCCTCCGGCCTCATCCGGACCTCCTGCTCGTCCCCCCCCCCTGCTCCTGCCCCTGCTGCTGCGGTGTTCCCCATCGTTCGCGGGCGCACCTAGCTTGATACTCCCCCTCTCCCTTCTCCCACCCCCTCCACTCCAACCTTCCCCCTCCACTCCAACCTTCCCCCCTCTCCTCCCCCATCCACTTCCCCCACTCCCTCCACTCCAACCCTCCTCCCTCACCTCCCCCATCCACTCCCCCCACTCTCCGCACTCCCGCCCCGCCCCCTCGCCCACGCCCCCCGACACACACGTCACCGAACCGTGTACCCACGCAGAGCAGCCCGCGTAAGCGCTGCACCACCTCACCGTGCAAAGTGCGTGGCCAGCAGATTAAAGGCAACTCACAACTGCGCTCAACGGCCAGATCCCACGCCCCTCAACCCAGTCACCGGAAACAATCCGCAACACTGTCCAAACTCATCCTCCGCCAACTCCCCCAACCCCACCTCCCCTCTTCCTTAACTGGTTGGTCCACCCCCTTCCTTCTCCTCCTCCTCTTCCTCCGCCCTCTCCTCCCCCCCGTTGTTCGTTCAAGACGCCTTCCGTCTTACGGAGGAGGGCTTCCTCCGAAGGGAAGACGTGGGTAGGAGGGAGGCGCGAGGTTTGACGAGGGGGCGGGTGAGTGAGGGGGAGGGAGAACAAGGAAGAGCGAGGAAGACGGGAGGGAGCGGTGTGTAGGAGGGAGACGTTACGAATATGTGCCGTGTCTGCACTCGTGCGCGTTCCCTTACGACGTGCTATTCCCCGACAGGTAGCTCGCCCTGGCGTGCCTGTGTGCGTCTTGGCGTAGGTAGGGCGGTAGCGGGGCTCGACGAAGAAGCAATGGGAGGGCGCTAGGAAAGAGAGAGAGAGAGAGACAGAGACATATATAATACATAACCTATAGACAACCGGTAAGAAGACACACTTATAGATAATAGGAGGGAGTACGAGTTAATGGGAGATGACACAATGTAAGGGATGGCATTAGGTATGCAATACTGTATACGCTGAGATAAGCGGCACATCCCTACAAAGACGAATACCAATAGCTATATTGAATACATTAAGAAGGAGAGAAAGAGAGGGGATCTATACATATATCTAAATACACATCATTGAGAGAGAGAGAGAGAGACAGAAAGAGAAAACGAGATATTGAGAGAGATCCGCAGTAGTGAACAATCTTGCGCAGAGGAGGCACTGCCAACAGAAAAACGCCAACCAACTAGCGATGTTCGTTGGGTCGGGGGCGACTGGTAGGACCCTACTCCTCCCCCGTGCTTCGACCCTCACTCAACACGAATGTCACACAATGCGGTTGCCAACTCGGCTGGGACCTCCAGGCTCCAGCGCGTTCCACGACAGCTCGAGGTGCGTGAGGCTCTCGTTGTGTCTAAGTAGCTCACCGATAACAGAACCAGCCATGATCCCGCAAAGCCCATTGTGCCTGTGGGAAATCGGGGGCGCATCGTCCCTGTCCTTCTGCCCTCCACCGGCACGCCATCAAAACGAGACCAGTACAGCTCACAGAGGTAGGCCAGGATACAGGCCGTAGTGATCTGGCGAGACCAAGATGAGCTGTGGCAACGCAGGTAATCTACAATGTAACAGCTGGCGCGAACACACAACATTCGCCAAGCCATCAAATCATCAAGGGACGGCGCGCCAAACACATCATGCGTTCGATCTGAAGCGGTGCCGCAATGGGCGCGCCCTTATCGACATCGACATGCTCCCTTCTCGTCTGATCCAACCCCGCCGTTCCTACTGATCACCCTTGTGTGACGATTAATGGTGTTAACCAATGCGCGTACGTATTCAGCATCTCTATACAATTTCCAACTCGAGCCCCATCAATGAAGCATCCGCTGATTTTCCCTCGCTTGATTGGCTATCCCCCTACTCGTCGATCTCCGGCTCCTCCTTACCGTCCTTCCTCTTCTTCGCCATCATGATCATCATTATCACCATCAGTATCATCACGATCACCATCGCCAGAAGCATGGCCATCACCATTTCAATCATTCAATCACCACCATAATCAGACTCATCATCATAATTATCATTATGCTCGACGTCAGCATCATCATCGTCGGCATCGGCATCAGCATTGTCATTATCATCATCACCAGTATCATCATACTCATCAGCATCATCAGCATATTCACCTTCATCATCATCATAATCATCATCATAGTCAGCTTCATCATCATCGCCCTCATCGTCAACAGCATCAGCATAATCGCCATCATCGGAGTCATCATCAGCATCCTTATCATCACCACCAGCAACCTCAACAGAATCATCATCATCAGCACCAACATCATCATCATCATCATCATCATCATCATCATCATCATCAGCATCATCATCATCATCATCATCATCATCATCATATTCCGCATCATCATCATCATCATCATCTTTTCAAGCAGCAGAATCATCATCACCATCACCATCATCCCACTCATCGTCGCCAGCCGCATTGCGTGCCATGGCCATTAAATTCATCACCATATCATCACCCTCACCATCAGCTTCATCAGCAGCATCGCCATCACCATCATCGCAATCATCATCGCCACCAACATTACATACCATGGTCATCGTCATCATCATCCCCATCATCATCATCGTCATCATCACACCCACCGTGATCATCACCATCACCATACTCATCATCACCATCACCATCATCATAATTTTCAGCATGATCATGATCATGATTCTGATCATCATTACCATCACCATTACCATCACCATCACCAACAACATCATCATCAGCATCAACATCATCATCATCAGACTCACCATCGTCATCGTCACCATCACCATCACCATCACCATCACCACCATCATCATCATCATCATCATCATCATCATCATCATCATCATCACGCCTGCATCGCCCTCGTTCTTCCGTCTCGGAATCCAGATCCATCTGCTGTTGTTGCTGCTGCTGCTTGTCACGTCCTCGCCATCTTGCCCTCGAGGTCCATCATGATCCTCGCATCTACTCCTCCGTTGGTCCCCGGCTCATGGTCCTCGCTCTCTTCTTCCTGCTCGTTCTACTAATCAAGCTGTTTCTCTTCGTCCTCCTCGTGACCATAACTCTTCATGTTCCTCCTCCACGTCAGTTTTCACCATGCCTTCACTGTGAGCTGTATTTTCTTTCTCCCCCTCTCCCTCCTCCTTCTCCTGCTCTTAGCCTTGCTACTGCTGATGCCTCTCCCCTCCCCCTCTTCGCATCCTTCTCCAGCTACTTCTGCTCGTCATCATCGCCGCCATCGTCACAATCGCACTCCCAAACCTTCTTAGAATCTTCCTAGGCTTTGTACACTTCCTGTTCCTCCTCCTCCTCCTCCTCCTCCTCGTCAGCTTCCTCCTCCTCCTCCTCCTCCTCCTCCTCTCCTCCTCCTCCTCCTCCTCCTCTTCCGCCTTCTCTTCCTCCTCCTCCTTCCTTCTTCTCCTCCTCCTCCTCCTCCTCCTCCTCCTCCTCCTCCTCCTCCTCCTCGGGAGTCCCCCAGAAGCCCCAGAGGCGTCCAGAGGCCCAACCATCGCAGAAACCCCTCCGGCACCCTCGTCCTCCGCCGCCCGGGAGCGCCGACGTCGACCTCCAGGCCTCTCCGGGTGCCGGGGCGCGGCGCGACGAGAGCCCATAGGGTGCCGAGGCGGGTCCAGCCGTGGCCGCGAGGCCGGCCCGAGAGGCCCGAGCCAGCTCCAGACCCTGCCAGAAGCACCGCTCTCGATCGGGGGGAGCGAGGGCCGAGGAGGGCCGAGGAGGGCCGAGGAGGATCGAGGAGGGCTGGGGGCAGAGGAGGGCCGAGGAGGACTGTCGAGGGCCAGGGAGGGATCGAGGGCCGAAGGGGGCCGAGGAGGGTCGAGGGCCGAGGAGGACCGAGGAGGATGGAGGGCCGAGGAGGGTCGGGGGCCGAGGGGGGGAGATGACTGCACGGACCCAGGACAGAGTAGCGGTCCTCGATCCTCAGCCCGTGGCGATCCTCCTCGACCCTCGCCCCGCGGCTGTCCTGCTCCTCCTCCCCATCCTCCTCCTCCTCCTCGGCCTCCTGCCAAAAGCACCTCCGATCCTCGCGCCTGGATCTTTCGACTCTATCGACCCTGGACCCGCGATCCTCCCACTCCTTGCCCTCCCAGTGGGAAATCAAGAGGTACAGCCGGACCTAGGACAGAAAACCATCCTTCCAGAACATGAGGCCCTGCGCCGGCCAAACTTAAAAGCATTCGAGGGTACCCTCCTCAAGGATGCACTAGAGCACCCAACAAGCACGAACAACATCAGGGTACCCTCTTCGAACCGATCTCGATCCTGCTGTCGCGGTCTGGCTATACCGATACCGCTACTCCCCGAATCTCACCCGGGGTGCGGTCTGCCCCGGACTTCGAGGAGAATCCAGCGGTGGCGACGAGAGCCTCCAAGAAGGCCGACAAAGGAAAAAGGGGAAAACCAGGCCAGGGTAGCTGTATAGGTACATCTCCCTCCTCCGCGCGATTTGGTGGCAGAGCGCGCTGATTTTGCATGAGAACGGGACCCGTCGCTAATCCGAGCGCATCCTGAATCCATGCTTGTGTTTCCGCGACATTCCTTCTCCTCCTCCTCCTCCTCCTCCTCCTCCTCCTCCTCCTCCTCCCATCCGCCAGAGATCGAGTAGGGGATCGACTACATAATTGACCTACCCAAACTTGAAATTCTCGCCGGATCTGCAACAAATATAACGCTCGTGGGTCTACGAACATTCGACATATTTTCCATACACCCGACGATCAAATAAATTCTGGGGTAAGTCGATTATGTCGTCTATTCCCTGTTCGAAGTCCTCCTCCTCCTCCTCCTCCTCCTCCTCCTTTTCCTCCTTCTCCTTCTCGTCTTGTGCGTGTCATCCTTGCGCAGGGGCCATGCTTATCTTCTCTGTATTGCTCCAATGTCAAGGGTGACCCCCGAAGGGAATCCTCCCCTCCTCCTCCTCCTCCTCCTCCTCCTCCTCCTCCTCCTCCTCCTCCTCCTCCCGCCCGCCAGCGAGCCAGAGATGCCGCAAGAGGGCGGCGGCGCGGCCGCAGGTCGAGGTGCTTCAGCGCCGTGCGGCCGCGCAGGGCGCGGCACAGCTCAGCGAGGCCCTCCTGGCGCCCGCCCGCTCGGCCGGGCCGGGCACTCTGGCGGCTCGCCGGCGGAGCGGGGGCCGCCGGAGGGGGGGGCGGGGAGGGCAGCCAGTCCTCGAGGGGCAGCGGGGGCCAAGGAGGGCCGAGGGCCGAGGAGGGATCGATGGCCAGGGAGGGCCGAGGAGGATCGAGGGCCGAGGAGGGATGGAGAGCCGAGGAGGGCCAAGGAGGGCCGAGGATACTCGAGGGCCCAGGGGGGGAGATAACTAGAGTCGGACCTGAGACAGACGAGCAGCCTTCCAGAACAGGAGGCCCTCCGATGGCCAAAACACATGGAGTATCCTGGGGTACCCTACCCAGAATGCGCAAGAACATCCAACAACCACGAAGAACGTCAGGGCATCCTCCCCGAACCGACCTCGATCTTGTACCTCGGTCAGACTGTAGCTACCGGACCACCCCAACCAAACCCAAAGACCCGAATTTCGGGTGGGGGGGGCGGGTTCCATATGTGTTTTCTCAATATTCCCCGACGACCCCCCCCCACCACTCGGAAAGGAGTCGGGGATCTTGGGATCTTCTCACCCGGGTCAGTCCAGACCCAGGTCAGCAGGAAACATAACAACTGCAATGCAGGAACAAAAACCTGCAACGCAGGTCTTCGCAAACCCGGGTCAGCCAGAGGGGGTCTTCGCAGGATCCTGCAGGATCTGGTGCCCTGGCTGACCCCCGTTTGCACTGACCCCCGTCTCTTAGGCCCCGAAGGAGGGCGGATTGGGGCCTTCCGGCGGATTGGGGCCTTCCGGTTGGGTTGAGCTGATTTGGTGGGCGGTGGGGGGAGGGGGGGTGGGCTGAGGAGGGCCACGGGGGGGGGGTACCTGGCCCTCAGGGGGCAGGAAGGGCCGAGGAGGGCCGAGGAGGATCGAGGGCCGAGGAGGGCCAGGAGACCGATGGGAGTGGGAGGGCCGAGGAGCGAGGAGGAACGAGACTCCAGGCGCCCAGCCTTCCCGGGCGGAGGGCCGAGGGGCATCGAGGGCCGGGGAGGCGGAGCGCACAGGACGGGGTGCCCCAGGCAAGGCGGGGTGCCCAGAGCAGGGGCGGCAGGTCGAGTTCCAGAGCTGTCTCGGATTCCCGCCCCACCGCGCGCGGCCGAGGAGGGGGAGGGCCGCGGCAGAGGAGGGCCGGAGATCGAGGGCTGGAGGAGGATCGAGGATCGAGGCGCCCGGCATTCAGGGATGGTGGCTCGAGGAGGAACACGCAGGAGGAGGATGAGGCTCGAGGTGGAGGAGGAGGAGGAGGGAGGAGGAGGAGGAGGAGGAGGAGGAGGAGGAGGAGGAGGAGGAGGAGGATCGGGATCGAGATGGGGATCGGGCTCGAGGAGTTCGCGTGTCTGCTCAGCTGGGGGCCATTTCCATTTGAAACCTCTGCACTGTGCTGCGCCTGGAGGAGGAGGATGAGGATGAGGAGGAGGAGGCGGAGGAGTAGGAGGAGGGAGAGGAGAAGGAGGAAGAGGAGAACCGCCAGTAGCTGAAGGAAGGTCGTGGAGGGAGGAGAAGGAGGGGGATCGACTATCAAGGATCGAGGAGGAAAATCAAGGAGGATCGGGGAGGGGGGGGGGGGGGGGCGGGGAACGGGTTAGGGGGCGGGCGGGAGAGCGGGGACGGAGGACCGAGGGTCGGGGGGGGGGGGGCAAGTTCTGCGGGGGGGGAGGGCAGGCGCGCTCCTGCCTTCCTGGGTCGAGGGTCGAGGAGAGAGGAAGAGAGAACGAGGGAGGAGGAGGGAGGCGGAAGAGGAGGAGGAGAAGGAGGAGGAGGAGGAGGAGGAGAAGGATGAGGATGATGATGATGATGAGGAGGAGGAGGAGGAGAAGGAGGAGGAGGAGGAGAAGGATAGAGGAGAAGGAGGAGGAGGAGGAGGAGGAGGAGGAGGAGGAGGAGAAGGGGGAGGACGGAGGAAGGAGGGCTGAGAATAATCCCTGCAGTCGATATCGTCCTGTGCGTGGGGGTGGGCGGCACGAGGAGGCGAAGGAGGGGCCGAGGGGAAGGTGCTCCGACACCCCGACACCCCTTTATCGTCTCCTGAATGCGCAGCGTGCTCTGCAATTGGGCGCCTCGCGCGCTCGTCTTCCTCGCCTCTTCTTCTTCCCTTTCTGGCTCCATGCGGCTTGCGGATGCGTTCGTGGCTTCTGTGTTGTTAGGTCGTTGTACGTCTTCGTTGTCAGAAGAAGAAAGAAGGGCATACGCACAACCTTTTGGCGCTCCGCGCAGATTTCTTGGATCTGCGCTGGACCCCCTCCCTGGCGCGCGGAGCGCGCCAAGGGCGGCGCCGGAGGCGCCGACGGGGGGGCCCAGCGCGGGTCCAAGAAATCTGCGCACAGCGCCAAACACTTATGCTTGCGGCTGTTTTTTTCTTCCTCGATCTGTGGCAGAGATACTTCGGCCGGTGGGCCCGAGTACAGTGGAGGCCAGTCCACGAGAAACCTTCCACGAGAAACCAAATCCTGAGACCCCGGGGCGTCCCCTGAGTTTCGGTGCGGGAGCGTCCCGCCTCCCGTCGCACAAAAAACCATCGAGGCCCAAGAAGCCCAGGGCACCCCGGGGGCAAGCAGGGGCGCTCCGTTGGCATGGGCCCCCACGGCACGGCACGCGCGGCGTAAAACAGAGGGGGCCAGGGCACGACGGCGCCAAGGCCAAGGCGGCACCGCGCGGGCGGAGGCGGCGGCACAGCAGCATTGGGGCCTCGCCGCCCTCGCCGATGCGGTTGTGCTGGAGCACCAGGCTCTCGAGCGTGCGGTTGATCTTGAGGGCCTGCGACGGGCATGGGGGGGGGGTGCAGTCAACCCGCACCACGAGGACGCGCGGTGAGGATGCAGGGGCCTTGGAGGTCCACGTGAGCGCTGCTCCCACGAGGTTGGCCAGCGGAAGTCGCTGATGATGGGCCGAAGGGGCAAGGGTGCAAGGGTACCCTTGGGAAGGTGGCTCATCCTGACTGTGCGGGTCGACTGTGCGCATTCGACCATGGGCCCCTTGTTGCCCACTGGCCCTCGGCGGTCTTCTGGCGGTCTTCTGGCGGTCCTGGGCGGTTCTCGTCGGTTTCCGGCGGTTCTCGGCTCGAAAGCTGGACGGTCGCGGTAAACAAGGGGTCCATGACCGAACACCCGAGGGGGGGAAGACGGGGGAGGGACTGGCAGGAAGATGTCGCGATTTTTATTACTATATTATTATTATTATTATTTGTTATTTTTTTCCACCCATCGAGGCTCAGGAGGCTCCAGGGGGGCCCAGTAGAATGCGGTCAACTCCTTGGTCGAGCAGTTCAACACGGTCGTGGCGAGGGGGGGGCCCACGGTGAAGATGTTGCGATGTTTTCTTGGGCGACGCTCAGGAACGGGTCCTGCGCGAGATGGCACAGCGACCTTGCGCGGGGGCCTAATTACACGGGCCGCCAGCGCGGCACGCTACACCAGGAGCGAGGGCGCTCCCGCGCGGCCTTACGCGGGCAGCTTACGCGCGAATGTTGGCGAAGACGACCCCGTTCTTTTTTTGCGTCGCTCAGTTAACCGTCTCCAGAAAGCCCGAACCCAAGAGTGTCGACGCCTCTCTCTCTTGCTTCCGCCGCCTTCCATCAGCTTCCCTCCGCGGACCCGCCGCGGCTTTACTTCCGCCGACCTTCCGCCGGCCTCCGCTGACGGCGAGTGTTGCCGAAGACGAGGCGGTTTCTGGAACGCCCCTTTAGGGCGTGAGTTGGCGTTAAGCTCAGGTCGGGCCTGTCCCCCTACAGGCCGATGTTCGAGGAGGAAACTTTTGCAAAAAGTGTAGCATATCCAACAGTCGTCAAACGAGGCCCAAAAACTAGTCCCCAGACTATTCTTGGACCATTTGTGAATCTTCCCCCTGTAGAGGGACAGGCCCGACTCAACGCAAAGCCTCCGCTCCCCTTCAGGCACAGGCCGCGGGGCCGCGGGGAGGGGTCGAGGAGGCCCCGGAAGCGGCGAGGCGAGGCGAGGAGGCCGACGGGCGGAGGGAACGAGAGGAGGAGGAGGAGGGGGAGGAGGAGGAGGAGGAGGACGATGAGGAGGAGGAGGCGGAGGAGGAGGAGGCGGAGGAGGCGGAGGAGGAGGACGATGAGGAGGAGGAGGAGGAGGAGGAGGAGGCGGAGGAGGCGGAGGAGGAGGACGATGAGGAGGAGGAGGAGGAGGGCCGGAGTAAACCTTGGCCGCATCAGGAGACGGCCGGCAGAGGGAGGAGCGGGAGGAGTAAAGATAAGAGGTGCCCGCGCTGGTCCACCTCGCTCTCTTCCACCGCCATCGCATCGTCTTTCGTTCGCACCTTTTCCCTAATGGGCCCCCCATCCCACCAAGGTCCTCGCCGGGTGGGAGGGGCAGGAAAGGTGTGCATGGCTGCAGGAGCTCCCCTCCACCACCATGAGTGTGTGTGTGGGAGGAGTAAGAGGGGGTGAGGAGGACGAGGACGATGAGGAGCAGTGGAAGAAAGGGGGGTTGATGTATCAGGGAATGGGAAGCGAGGGCGCGGAAACGGGAGGAGGGAATAGGGCCAGAACAGCAGCGGGGTACAACTCAGCGGAGATGAGGCCTCTACAGGCCAGTGACAAGTTGTGGGCCGGCACGAGAAGAGACGACCAACGACAGAGCGAACGACACAGAAAGAACGAAAGAGGGAAGGCTAGAACCTTCTGGGTGCGAACAGGGAGGGCGAGGAGGAGGATGCGAAGAGCGAGAAAGAGGTAGGTGGACGGAGGACGTCTGTTCGGCGTGCTGGTGCTTTCCTCTCTCCTCTCGTGCCGCTGGCTTCGGGGGGGGGGGGCGGGGGGATGGCGCTGTGTCTCGGCTCGTCGATCTCCTTCTTGCCGCCTCGTGCAGCCTCCATCTGCTCCAGGGAACGCGTCCCCGCCATCGTCTTCACTTTCGCAGTGGGCTCTTCTATTGGTCTGGATCTGATTCCCGAATGGCATCTGGCAGCCAATACCACGAAACTTCGTTTCCCTGGGTGCTGGAGGAGCGGGAGCAGAACGTTGAGGCGGGGGGGAGCAGAACGTGGTGAAGGGAAGAGGGGACCGTGGGGGCTAGTGGCGGGGTGTGGAAGAACAGCGCGGGGAAAGAGCGAGGAACTGGATCAGAGAGGAGTAGCGGGCTGCTGAATCGGGTTGTCGCGAGCTTTCGACACTGAATCTGGTCTCTTGGTGTCCCAAACTTGCTGCCTGCGTTGCTGGTTCTGCAACCTCCTCATCCTCCACCTCGTCCGACTCCTCTGGCTCCTCCTTCTCCTGGTTATGATGCGGCCGCTGTTCGTCATCGTCATCCTCTTCCTCTTATTCGTCATCGTCATCCTCTTCCTTCTTCGTTAGTTTGGCGCGACCGACGCGGCCGCGGTGGCGCTGACCGCTGGGCACTTCCCAGCGGGCACTTCACTGCGAATATGTGACTCGGGCGGGCGCGGTGCCATGGCGACGCCGACAACGGTACAAACGATTATGAATGCAGCGATGATGGTGACGATGGTGGCGATGACGACGGCAAGGCCAATGACGGCGCCGATGTTGATCACGCCCGCCAGTAACAATGACGATGTCCTCGCATCGACGATGCAGGTTTGTGAACGAATTCGACATGCGCGCGCGGCAGACGCGCGCGAGTGGTCCGCGTGGTATTGTTTGACACGGACCGTGCCCCCCAGCACGCGCGCAAGGGCGATCAAATGAGTTCGATATGTGGCGCGAGAGGCCCGCTTGGCAGAATTTGATGAACATCTTGAAACACCTATTGTTTTCTGAAGAATCTGCAAGACCGCGAGCGCAGTTGTTTGTGAGAACTGACGTTGCAAACCATGTGTTTTGGTATGTTCTCGGGACGCTCGTTTTTAAATCCTCACCAAACCTGAGGTGTTCGAAAGATGCCAGCATGCGCGCGCGACGACGCGCGCGTGCGAACTTCGTTCCATTTGTGGCAAGGTGTCCTTGCGATAACACGAGCGCAAGGGCGTTTGAACGATTTGGATATGCGCGCGAGAGGCCTGTTTGTTAGCATGTTATGAATTTGTTGACAAAAACGCTGGTTTCCTAAACTCTTGTTGCGGAACCATGTGTTTATGTGAATACGTTGCCCGTGACTCTCGAATTCGGAATCCTTACGAAGCCTAGAGTTTGTTCAAATATTTCGACATGCGCGCGCGACGACGCACGCGTGTGCACTCCGTTCCACTTTTCGCAAAAGCTTCTTGAAAACATATGATTTTCGATGAACCTGTGCGCGCGCAAAATATTTTGTGCAAGGGATGAGGGGGGAACCGATTACGGCCTGCCCGGGATGGTATGGATGCATATCTCGAATGGGCAAGAGCAGAACATTGTGTAAATTGCAATTCGAAAAAAAAGGTGTACCGTTAATCCTGGGGGGGGGGAGGAGATCCGATGCTTCTCTTAGAAAAGGAGACGTCATGTTGCAGGCCCAGACGGCGGGCGGCGACGAGGCGGCGGCGGGGCGGCGACGGCGGCAACATACACCCTGCGAAATGCTTAAGAAATCATGGGTTAAGAAATTCATAGTCTCAGAACTTGAATAAAAACCCAACATCTCTATTAAAATCTTAGGATTTACGTTGAAACAATAAGAATAATCGAGACTCTGGCCGAAAACTCAAGTTCTCTTAAGCATCGCCTAAGGTGTAGTTCCTGAGAAAAGGAACAAGAACCTTGAAGTGCAACCCCACTCTATGCGTGACAATTCCTCTCTCTGGCGGCCCTGGGCCCCGGCAAGGGTCCCGGGAGGGTGGAACTGGCCAAACACCTGCCATCGTCATCTTGTGAGGAGCAGCGTTGGGGGTGAACGGGGCAGAACAACCAAGCTGCGCACACGAGCGCCAGGTCTCGGAGGGCCGCATGGGAGGAGGAGGAGGAGGAGGAGGAGGAGGAGGGAGGAGGAGGAGGACGATCCTCGGACAGCGCATCCTCACGTTCCTGGGCGGGGTGGACTCTCAGGCCCCGTATCGGTGATCACTGGACGATTGGGGGCCGCTGCATCCCCCCATGAGCCCCTCCTCGGCCGAAACGCTCCTCCTCCTCCTCCTCCTTCTCCTCCTCCTCCTCCTCTTCCTCCTCCTCCCTCCTCCTCCCTCCCCTCCTCCTCCTCCTCCTCCTCCTCCTCCTCCTCCTCCTCCCTCGGCGTGAGGATGTCAGCCCAGACATCCGGCTGCCCCAATGTTTTCGATGCGTGGGCCGCGGAGGTCCGGACCACTTCCCCGGGGCCAGTTTTTCGTCCCGAGCTGGATGTTTGACGCTCCCGAGGCCCCGCGAGGGCCCCCGGATGCCGACGACTGCCCAAATCCCGCCGCTTCCATGTTGGTTGGAGCGTCGGATCTCTGAGAGGGGATCTCTCGACCCCCCGATCCCTCCTCGCTGTACCCGCGCCCGCGCGGCGGCGGGGGCCTTTGCGAGGTGCCCCGCGCCAGTGGGGCCGATGCCGCAGCCGCTGAGGTCCTTCGGGGTGCGCGGGCGGGTTGAGCGGGCTCCTGAGGCCACGGGCGAGGACAAGAAGCGGGCCTTGCGCGAGACTACAGGAGGAACGAAACGCAACATAAACTATTGTCCGCCAGCGGCGAAGCAGAGAAGCTGCTCCAGCGGGTGGCGATTCGGGGCGACCGAAAGGCGAATTGGCTGGCGTGCAAACAAAACAGCCTAAACATGGTTTTTCGGAGCTCCGCGCGGACTTCTTGGATCGGCGCGGGACTCTCCATCTCTGGTGCGTGGAGCGCGCCAGGGGCGGCGCCAACGACGCCGCCGGGGGGGCCCAGCACAGATCCAACACATCCGCGCGGACCGTCGACAGTCTATGCTTATGCCGTTCTTCGTCTTCGAATGGCCAGACCCGTCGCCCTCAACCCGGGACGAGACGAGCGCTTCATACAAGCCAGCTCGATCTTTGGCAGGATGGATGGGGCAGGCAGGTGGTAGGTCTCACAGGTGTTCCATTCTAGGCAACAAGAATCCTGTAGCATTGAAGTGGAGGCCAGTCCACAAGGAACCTTCCACAAGAAATCCACCCCTGAGACCCTAGGACGTCCATTGATTTTCGGTGTGGGAACGCCACGCTTGCCATCGGAAAACCACCGAGACCCAAGAAACCCAGGGCACCCTGGAGGCAAGCCAGGTGTTTCTTGGCACGGGTCCCACATGAGTTGTTCCGTGGCCCCCAGGCTCGAGCCCACTCAGCACAGTACGGTTGCAGCGGCGGGGGTCGTGCGAAGCCCTCGCCGAGCTCGCACAAGCCACCACCCCCGACACCTCGGTACAGCGTCTGCAGCGAAGGCGCCATCGACAGAGGTCAAAGAATCCACCCCCACTTAAGAGCCGCCCCGACGCGCGAAGTCCTGTAGTGGGCGCGGCCAAGGAAGGAATCGCACAGGGCAGGGCTGCCTTGTAGACGCCCAGGGCCGTTTCGCAAACGCCAGTCATCGGGTCGGGGTGGCGTTCCCTCCCCTGAGACCCAACTCCGCATCCGCAAAGCGACGACGACACGGTACGGGTCCATCGCGAGATGCCACGGCGACCGACCTTGCGCGGTGGCTCCCGCGGGCCCCCCCCGGGCAACACCGCCGCGCGGAGAGCGAAGGGCGCCCGCGCGCGGCCTCTAGCTGCGCGGGGAGGTCGCGCACCCCTGCCCGCACAGCCGAAGCGCTCCCCCTCCGTCGCTCCTATTCTTCCTCCTCCTCCTCCTCCTCCTCCTTCACCTCCTCCTCCTCCTCCTCCTCCTCCTCCTCCTCCTCCTCCTCCTCCTCCTCCTCCTCCTCCTCCCCCTCCTCCCCCCCCCCGGCGCTGCGCACCGCGCCCCCGCGGCGCGCGGTCGTCTCCGCGCCGTCGCGCCGCCTCCCCCTCGGAGAAGGGCCGCCGCTCGGGCCCCGACGGCGAAGCGCGGCCACCTGCGCGCGCGGGTGGCCAGGGAGCTCGCTCCGAGGATCCACCGGAACGACGAGGTCGGGCGAAGGCCAGTGTGAATCTGCACTGTCGGCAGACTGCGGAGTCGGCACAGGGTGGCAGAAACGGCATTCACTATGAAGGTGCACTTTCGGAGGTCCGCGCGAACGGCGCGGGGCCCCCCTGGCGCGCTGCGCCCGCACGGGAGGCGGGGTCCCGAGAGTGGCGCAGAGGCCCCTGAGAATGTGTGCTCATACGTCTTTTCCGTCTCCAATCCTCGGAACGTGTTTTGACGCCAATGTGTGGTTGTCCGACCACGCCCGTCAATACGACGCAGGTGGCGCAGTGGCTGGCTGGCACGTGCTGCATGCTGTCGGTGGGGCTGCACGGGGCAAAAAACACTGGTCATCGCTCGGGCGTCACCTGGTCCCACTGGTCATCGCTCGGGCGTCACCTTCCCCATGCACGTTTCGGTTTCGCTCGGGCGCCACGGGCCCCTGCTCCGGCCGCCGCTAAGGGACCACATCCCGCGCCGCGGGGCGCTGTCTGGCGCGGTTGGGCGCCACTGGGCGCCCTTCGCCGATGCAGTCGGGCCGCTGCAAGGAGGCACGCGAAATAAGGAACGAAGCCCCTTCTTGTCAGGGGGGCGTAAGACCCGGGTACGGGGGACTCGGAAATCCCCGACGAGGTCGTCAAACAAATGACGAGGCCGAGCCTGCATTTTGACGAGGCCTCCCGCTGCAGACATCCCACGAAACTCCTACTCGTCAAAATCCGAATCGCGGTCGTCAAAAAACGATGGCGAACCCGAGTCCTGGCAAACCCGGGTCTTACGCTCCCCCGATCTTGGCCCTGTAAGCGCCTCCGTGCCCCAGGAGGGCAAGAGGGACAGCACTGGAGGAACATCAGGAGCATCGAGCCCCTTCCGAACCCAAGCTGTTCCTTATTTCGGCGTCTGGACTGTAATGAGGTTGCGCGGTGAGGATGCGGGGCCTGGGAAGTCCATGTTGACGCTTCTCGAACGGGGTTGGCCAGTGGACGTTGCCAAGAGTGGGCCGAAGGGGCAAGGACGCATGGGCAAACATTGGAAAACTGCTCATCCTTACTGTTCGCTCTGACCGTGCACCTTCCATCCCAGACGGGCGGAGGCTTCCGGGGCCCAGGGACACAGAACTAAATACACACATACACACTCACACACACACATCCCGGGATCGATTCCCGCATCTGTTGGATGTTCGTCTTTACTTCCCCCTCCCACTTGCCATGGTTTCCCATATCCTGTGGGGCATCGAAGACTACACCCTGCGAAATGCTTAAGAAATCATGGGTTAAGAAATTCATAGTCTCAGAATTTGAATAAAAACCCAACATTTTTATTAAAATCTCAGGATTTACATTGAAACGTTAAGAATAATCGAGACTCTGGTCGAAAACCTGGGTTTTCTTAAGCATCGCCGAAGGTGTACTCGTGTCTGTGTGCTCCTGTCCCTCCAGAGCGGTCTCCTCTCCCGCAGCCCTGCCGGGCGGGCCGGGCGCCGCAGCGGGCAGCGACGCGAGGCGAGCCGCGGGCGGACCCTCCGCCCGCGGCCCCTCCGTGCTCGGAGCCGCGGCTCGCCGAGCCTCGCGCAGGCTGCCCGGGGGAGGCCCCCCCAATCAGGAGGAGAAAAAGCACACAGACAGAATGAGTCGTCGACTCCCAGGAAAAGATGGGGAAAAACATATGGGAAGTGGGGGGGGAGACAAAAACACACCCAGGAAGCATTGGAAGATAGGGGGGATCCTTTGATTTGTGTATCTACTTGCGTGTCCTCGCGGCCACACGCAAGGAGTGGCCCCTGGGCAAGAGAGCGACCTCTGGTGCGAAGTGGTTTTGCGGGCCGAGGAGGAGGAGGAGGAGGAGGAGGATGAGGAGGCGAGGAGGAAGGAGGAGGAGGAGGAGGAGGAGGGGGGAGGGGGAGGAGGAGGCGGAGGAGGGAGGAGGATGAGGGAGGGGAGAGAGGAGGAGGAGGGAGGAGGAGGGCCGAGGAGGAGGAGGAGGAGGGGCAGGAGGGGGGGGGCCGCGAGGGGGCCGGGCCCGAGGCCTGCAGACCGCTCCCGCACCAGAGAAGTCACTCCGGCGAGAGGCCACTCCTCGGCGAGCCGTATCCAGGCGTCTCTCCCACCGCGGGCCTGGCGGTGTGGGCCCCGGCCTGGCGCGGGAGCTTCGGGGCCAGGCGTGGGACCTGTGCCTGGGCAGGCCCCTCCCCAGGGCCCTCCCAGGGCCCTCCCAGGGCCCTCCCAGGGCCCTCCAGGGCACCCCAGGCGCGCGTCACGGTGAATTAGCACCAGCCCGACGGCCCAGGGCGCTCCTGGGCTCCCCAGAGACGCTCCGTGGCCCTGGGATCGCCGGAGCCGGAGCCACGCCCCTCGGCAGCGCGCGAGTCCTGGCAAGCAGCAGGGGCCGAAGCGCCGTTGGCCGCCGCAGCCGCGGGGGGAAGACTGCACCTTTCGCCGCCAGGAGCGCCGTCGCCCCCCCCCCCCCCCCACACCCCCCTCGAGAGGCTGGGCGGGCGGGTGTCCTCTCTTTAAAATTCCGGGGGCCACTACGGTGGGGCCACCGGGGATACACCGACGGCGGCCTGCAGCTGTGGAAGATCAGCCAGCCGCTTCTGCTCCGATGTCTCATTCACCGTCTCCCCATCGCCTTACTCCACTGCCCTCGCTCCTGCCCTCACCATGGCGCGCCCCCCCCCCCAGCTCCAGGTGAACCAGGCACTGGCTGTCGGCAAGGTGCCGAGCGATCTCGTGAGCACCTCGGCCCATGCCCCCCGAATTCCAAGCCATCCACGGCCCTGCAGTCCGACTGCGAGCTCATCTGCCCACGGGACGAGCTCATGTGCCAACGGAACAGACACAGACGATCAAACAACTGAACCCATACATACATATATATAACATATACATATACATATACACGTATGTCTGTGTATGTATGTATGTATGTATGTATGTATGTATGTTTGTATGTATGTATGTATGTATGTATGTATGTATGTATGTATATATATATATATATAATATATATATATATATGATCGGAGCTCCGCGCGGATTTCTTGCCTCGGGGCGCCGCCAGAGGCGCCACCAGGGGGAACAGCGCCGATACCAAAAAACCCGCGCGGAGCTCCGAGCAATTCCATGAGTGCAGCGCTCCGTTTCTCGACAAGCACCGCTGGCGTGGCGCGCTGCCCCCCCTGCTGAATAGTGCAGCTGCTCCTCCTCATCTTGGGCGTGGCTTAATGGGGGGGTCACAAATGGGGGGGTCAGAAAAGGTCCCCTTTCGTGCCCCTTTCGGGCCCCTCTGGAGCCCCAGGGGGCTCGTTTAGGTACCGTTTGGGTACCTTTTCGGACCACCCTCGCCAACCCCCCATTTATGACCCCCCCATTACGCAACGCCCAATCATCCTCTCTTGTTCTCTCTCCGGGGCCACCGAGCACACATGTGCCAGGCGAACTGGCTGGAAAAGGAGGTGCCACGCAGCGCAGATACGCTTGCGTCGACCAGAACAGTGGTTCAGAGGTTTGCGAGACACGTCAGGGGCGACGTCCTCCTCATCCCCCATCTCCTCCTCGCCCTGCTGCTCCGCCTCGCACTGCTGCTGGCCTGGGCGCAATGCTTCAAGGGGCCCTGGGACACACAAATAAGTACACACAAATCCCATGATTCCCTATGTTTTTTCAATCTGTTCTGGATTTTCGTCTTCCCCCCCGTTGTCCACATTTTCCCATATTTTCATCGGAATCGACGATTAATTGTGTCTGTGTGTATTTTGCCCTCCTGAATGCTTTCTGGGCAACTCCTAGCGCTTTCCCCTGACGCGGGCGCTGCCCAACGAGGGGGGGGGGGGGGGGGCGATCCACGAGGAGGGCGAAGAAGCGCTCGCCTCTGGTGCCCATTTTGGATCCCAAAGGGGCCCCTGTAGGGCCCCCGAGGTGCACAGGACGAAGCCAGGACCAGAAACAAATTCGGGTAAGGACAGATCGGGATTCTCTTAGATCCGGCGGCTCTGGAAGATGCCTCGGGCGCCGCGACCTTCTCAGAGCCTCCCGGAACCCTCTGAGAGCGCTCCAGAACGCTCTGGAACGGCCCTATCCTCGTCCTGGCCCCGTCCGGCTAGGGCCCCTGAGGTGCACGAAAGGTGGAGCCTTAAAAAAAAAAAATGAAAAAAAAGACTCTAGCAAGTTTACTTGCATGGACGGGGGGGGGGCTGAGCCTGAGGCAAGCCTGGGGGGTGGGGGGCGCGGAAATCACGCAAGTCGAAAGGCACTTGCACGCTAGTATTCGCTTGAAGAGGGGCGAGGGGGGGGGGGGGGGGGGGGGGGGGGGACGAACGCCATGCAAGTAAACTTGCCTGAATCCAAAAAAACAGGCTCGTGTATCTTTCGTTCACCCCCCACTCATCGCAGCAGCATGACGCAACGCCCAGCTGACCACCACGCTCCGCCTGCCAGCAACCTTCGCCGACCCGAGCCACTCCAGCGTGCCGCTGCACCTGCAGCCGGCTCGGCCGTCGCGCCCCCTGGCGGCATCGGCGATGGCCGTCCCCTGCGCTCCGGCCAGTGATCTGGGGAAGCCAAAAAGGCACCGAGGGAGGACTCCTCCTCCTCCTCCTCCTCCTCCCCCCCCTCTCCTCCTCCTCCTCCTCCTCCTCCACCTCCTCCTCCTCCTCCTCCTCCTCCCCTCCCTCCTCCTCCTCCTCCTCCTCCTCCTCCTCCTCCTCCTCCTCCTCCTCCTCCTCCTCCTCCTCCACCTGATCCTCCTCCCCGGGGTGCGCGCTGACCAGGATTTCGAGGCGCATGCAGCGGTGGCGACGAGGGCCTCCCAGAAAGCACACGGACCGACAACTAGAAAAGGGTAACCGAAGGACGGGACGTCATTAAGAACCCCCCCCAGGGTTCAGTAGCACCGCACCGATGATCATAAATTCCAGGGGGGATATTGGCCAAACGAGAACCTTAGCACCGCGCCAAACAACAACACCAAACACAGACCTTATATTCGCATTGGAAGCGAGGGAGGACTCCTCCTCCTCCTCCCCCCCTCCCTCCTCCTCCTCCTCCTCCTCCTCTCCTCCTCCTCCTCCTCCTCCTCCCTCCTCCCCTCCTCCCTCCTCCCTCCTCCTCCTCCTCCTCCTCCTCCTCCTCCTCCTCCTCCTCCTCCTCCTCCTCCTCCTCCTCCTGACGGCGGGTGCCGGGACGCCGCTGCTTCCAGGTCCGGGAAGTTTTATCGTCTTGCCGAAGGGGCGGGGTCCTGTAATAGGGAGCACACAGAGGACGTACGCGCCCAGCTATGTACATGAACACGGCCCCTTGACCCGCGAGACCTGCCGCGCGATACGAACATTCGCGCAGTGCGAACTCTCGAGTGCAACGCCTGCATCTCAGGATCTTCCTCCTCCTCCTCCCTCCTCCTCCCCCTCCTCCTCCTCCTCCTCCTCCTCCTCCTCCTCCTCCTCCTCCTCCTCCTCTTCCTCCTTCTCCTCCTCCTCCTCCTCCCCTCCTCCTCCTCCTCCCTCCTCCTCCTCCTCCCTCCTCCCTCCACCTTCCTCCCTCCCTCCTCCCTCCTCCCTCTCCTCTCCTCCCTCCTCCTCCTCCTTCCTCCTCTCCTCCCTCTTCCTCCTCCTCCTCCCTCCTCCTCCTCCTCCTCCTCCGCCCTCCTCCTCCCCGCCTCCTCCTCCTCCTCCTCCCCTCCTCCTCCTCCTCCTCCTCCTCCTCCTCCTCCTCCTCCTCCTCCTCCTCCTCCTCTCCCTCCTCCTCCCTCCTTCCCCCTCCTCCCTCCTTCCCCCTCTGGAGTTCGCCCACGAGGCGCGCGCCGGCCGCCCCCCGGGCGGAGCCTCGCCGCGCCGTCGCCCACCGCACGTGAGGGCCCGCCGCTGTGCTGCTCCCGCCGCACGCGAGGGCCGCAGCCCAAAGAGGGCTGCGAGCGCACTGCTATCAGGGGGGCGTAAGACCCGGGTACGGGGGACTCGGAAATCCCCGACGAGGTCGTCAAAAAAATGACGAGGCCGAGCCTGCATTTTGACGAGGCCTCCCGCTGCAGACATCCCACGAAAGTCCTACTCGTCAAAATCCGAGTCGCGGTCGTCAAAAAATGATGGCGAACCCGAGTCCTGGCAAACCCGGGTCTTTCGCTCCCCCGATGCTATGCCGCAAGAGGGCGGCGGCGCGGCCGCAGGTCGAGGTGCTTCAGCGCCGTGCGGCCGCGCAGGGCGCGGCACAGCTCAGCGAGGCCCTCCTGGCGCCCGCCCGCTCGACCGGGCCGGGCCACTCTGGCGGCTCGCCGGCGGAGCGGGGGCCGCCGGAGGGGGGGGCGGGGAGGGCAGCCAGTCCTCGAGGGGCAGCGGGGGCCAAGGAGGGCCGAGGGCCGAGGAGGGATCGATGGCTCGAGGGCCCAGGGGGGGAGATAACTAGAGTCGGACCTGAGACAGACGAGCAGCCTTCCAGAACATGAGACCCTCCGCCGGCCAAAACACATGGAGGATCCTGGGGTTCCCTACCCAGAATGCGCAAGAACATCCAACAACCACGAAGAACGTCAGGGCATCCTCCCCGAACCGACCTCGATCTTGTACCTCGGTCAGACTGTAGCTACCGGACCACCCCAACCGAACCCGACCCCGATTTTCGGGTGGGGGGGGGCGGGTTCCAGATGTGTTTTCTCAATTTTCCCCGACGACCCCCCCCCACCACTCGGAAAGGAGTCGGGGATCTTGGGATCTTCTAACCCCGGTCAATCCAGACCCAGGTCAGCAGGAAACCAAAAACTGCAACGCAGGAAAACAAAAACCTGCAGCGCAGGTCTCTGCAAGCCCAGGTCCGCCAATATGCGCGGCCGCCTCGCGGCCACGAGCGGCTCGCTAACCCGGGTCAGCCAGAGGGGGTCCTCGCAGGACCCTGCAGGATCTGGTGCCCTGGCTGACCCCCGTTTGCACGGACCCCCGACCTCAAGGCTCCCGAGCCCAGCACGAGCGTCGAAGCCGGGGCTGAACCGGAACGGTGCTTTTCGCTTTCGTTTCGTTTTCGTGCTCCCTCGTTTCTTTGTCTCGGATCCGCCTCTACAGAAACGAAGTCGAAACGAAAACGGCCTACGAAATCACCAAACACACCGTTTAGGTCCAGCCCTGGTCGAAACAGTGTCGAACAAGTATCGCCTCCCAGGGCCCGACACGCGAAAGCCATCGGATTTCGGTACTCTTCTGGCGCTCGAAAGTCTTTCTGGTGGTCAAGTCTAAAGCAGGTTGGAACATCGTAACCCACGGGGGGCCCGAGGCCCCTCACCAGGCGAAACCCCACCACGCCCAATTCCATTACTTATAAGACGAAGCCAGGACGAAGATAAATTCGGGTACGGATAGATCGAGAATCTCTGAGATCTGGCGGCTCTGGAGGATGTCTCGGGCGCCGCGGCCTTCTCAGAGCGTTCTGGAACGCTCTGAGAGCGTTCCAGAACGCTCTGGAGCGGAGTAATCCTCGTCTTGGCCCCGTCCGGACTTCGCAGCCGCAGCACTAAGACCTAAGTCATGACAAGCACTGCTTGGGGAAGTGAGGCAGCGCAGACTTTTCACGCACACCCACGATGGGATGCGCAGACGTCTCCCTGCGGCGCGCGGCTGCCCGTGGGCCGCTGTGAGCCCCACCCGGCCTCCCAGGACGGGGGACTTTGGCCCGGGTGACGAGCGTTGCCTTGGGGAGGAACGGAACAACAACGCTCAAGGAGGGGGCAGCACCCTCGTCTCCCAGGGGGCGAGGGGGAGGCGGCCGAGGGGGAGGGGGGAGAGGGGGGGAGGGGAGGGGGGGCAGGAGGGGGGGGGGGCCAGGGGGGGGAGGCCACTGGGGGCAGCGGGGGGGCCAGGCCGACGCGGGGGGGGGGGGGGGGTGGGGGGGGGGGGGGGCAGGGGGCAGCACCCGCGTCTCCGATGCCGGCGTGCGCCAGCACGAGCGACGGGCTCCGCTCCTGGGGGCGCGCGCGGCGCGCGCCCACGGACGGGCCGGCCAGGCTGCAGCTTTTTTTGCTTCGGGCCCGGCCACGCAGGCTTGAAAAAGGGGGGGAGGGCCTGCGTGGAAACGGCATGGTGCGGGCGCGATGGGCGCAGCCAGCCCGCACAGCCAGGGCGCGCGAGGAGGAGGATGCAAGGGCCTCGGAGGGCGATGCGGACACCCTGCGAACGGCGCGCGGCCAGCGAACGCGGCCGAGGATGGGCCGCAGGGGAAAGGATGCAAGGGTATAGCCTTGGAAAGTCAGTCGTTCTTACTGTGCGGGTTGTCTGTAAGGAGGAGGCATGCGGAACGGCAGGGGGAAGAAGGCGCGATGGGCACGGGCGCGAGCTGTCGAGCACCCCGAGGGGGCTCCCGCCCGAGAAGGGGCCCGCATCCGACGACGCACACTCATAGCCTGCACAGAACTCCACTCCGAAAACCCTGGGCGTCGGACGGGCCTGGGTGCCAACTGTCAGCTCATGACGTGCGCCGCGTCAGCCGTCGCCGCCGCCGCAGTCATCGTCGTCGTCGCCGTCGTCGTCGTCGTCGTCGTCGTCGTCGTCGTCGTCGTCGTCGTCGTCGTTGTCGTTGTCGTCGTCGTTGCTGTTGTCGTCCCGCCCGCTGGCCCCCGAGCCGCGCGCCCATGCCCAGAGCGCCCTGCCCGGAGCGCCCCGGCGCGCCCGCGCGGCCCCCGTGGCCCCAGCGGCTCGGCCACGGGCGCCTCCTGGCGGAGAGTGTCCCCCGCCGCGCGCCGCACGGCAGAATCGCGCATCTGAGAAGCGGCAGGCGACGACGACAGACGCGAGCGTCAAAGGAGGACGCCGCAGCGCGGGCGCAGAATGCCCATGAAGAGGCCAGGAACAGGGTTGACAACCGAAGCAGGTTCACAAACACCATGGTCGACGAACGGGCGTAACGTAACACTCCCGATGTAGATGCACACGGATAGCGTCATAACAACCATCCAAGCATGACAGACACACGGTAAGGGCAGACGCAACTCATATATGAGGTGCGAATCATACCTAAATGCAAATTCAGCGTGAGGTGGCACAGACCGAGCAACGCGAAATGTAAGCACACGAATGTGTGTAGTTATGTATGTATGTGTGTATGTACGTGGGTTTGTATATGTGGTTGTTTGTTTGTTTGTTTGTTTGTTTGTTTGTGTGTTTGGTTGTTTGTTTGTCTGTACGTCTGTATGTATGTATGTATGTATGTATGTATGTATGTATGCATGCATGCATGCATGCATGCACGTATGTATGTATGTATGTATGTATGTATGTATGTATGTATGTATGTATGTATGTGTGTATGCATGTATATGTATGTATGTATGTATGTATGTATGTATGTATGTATGTATGTATGTGTGTATGTATGTATGTATGTATGTATGTATGCATGCATGCATACATGCATGCATGCATGTGTATGTATGTATGTATGTATGCATGCATGCATGTATGTGTATGTATGTATGTATGTATGTATGTATGTATGTATGTATGTATGTATGTATGTATGTATGTATGTGAATATAGGTTTCATGCGCACCGCGCCCCAATGGCGCGCGCCAGCGCTACAGCCCCTGCGCCACCGATGGTGTTGCCAAAGTCGCAATCGCTGCCCCGCCTGGGGGACCTCCGCGACAGCGGTCCGCCCGTGCGCCACTTGCACTGGGCGGCGCGCAACTCCTGCCGTGATGCCGTGCACCGGCTAGTGAATGGCGCTCTTCTCTGTCCGCCTCTGTTCCATTTCGCCCCGCGTCCGGAATACGCCGGCCGCTCCCCCGCGGAGCCGCTGACCCTCCATCGCCCTGGCCGTTTTGCACTTGCTGCAGCGCCAGCCGATCGCGTCGCTGGGCCCACGCCGCTGCCCTCCTTTCCCGCCGGCTACCTGGTCTCCAGCTGCCGCCGCCTCCAACCTCCCCGTGTGCCAGGACACGCCCGCATTGTGGCTGCTAGCCCCCGCCATGGGCGAGCTGCGACGCCGCCCCGCAGCCGCCTCCAGTTTGGACCTTTGCCTCCACCGCAGCCCCGCCGCGCGAGCGGGCCCCGCGCCCCTTCTCCTGCCCCTGCGGCCGCACGCCCCCTTCCCCCTCCTCTTGCGCGGGCTAATTCCGTGGCCCCGCGCCCGGGCGTCAATCGCACGCGCGTGCGCATTGCCTGTGCCGCGCTGCGACGTGTGTGTGTGTGTGTGTGTGTGTGTGTGTGTGTGTGTGTGTGTGCGTGTATATATATAATTAATCATGTGTGTATGTATGTGTGTAATAATAATAATAATATATATAATATATATATATATATATATAATTATATATATGTATAGCTCCGCCCCCCCCCCGCGTGCGAGTGATTGCCTGACGACGTCGCATTTCCTGCGCGGCCCATCTGGCGGAGCGGCGAGCTCGACGAGCGATGCCGAGAGCCGCCACGAGGCGGAAACCTGAGCATGACATCGAGACCGAAGGATTCGCACTGGCTCAGGAATGAAGTAGTAAGCGAGGGAGGGGGGGAGTTTGAGTCAGAACGCGAGGACGGCGCACTCGTCAGTTGGCTGTTGCCTAGTCGTTAAGAAGGGGACAGCTCCGCACCCCCCCCCCCGCGCGAGCGTTTGCCCGACGACGCTGCACTTTCCGCGTGGCCCACGGCGCCGGCGCTGCGGCCCCCGTGGCGCTCTTCCTGCTCCTGCAGGGCCGTCCAGAGCATTTCGCAGGACGCCACCTCGGTGATGTTGATCTGGCCGTAGCAGGAGTCCGTCTCTAGCGCCATGCGCAATCGGACGTGCTCCTCGACTCTGGGCTCCGAGCCGATGAGACGCGGCTCCGCCTCCCAGCGGTTGTGGCGCGCCACCTGCGAGCCGTCGTTCGCCAAGATGAACTTGCACGCCCATAAGCGAGTGCGGGGGCCGCGAATCGGCTGCTCGTCGAACAACGTCACCGTGAACGTGCCAACCGCCAACGTGCACTCGCGGAAGCACAGCCCCTGTATGTTGAGACCGATGGGCTGCACCCGCAGGTCGGAGGTGGCGGGTGACCCAGCCGGCGCCGCAACGGGCACAGCAGGTGCCGCGGCGGCCGTCCTTGCGGCCGGGCGCCCCCGCGGGCGCAGCCGAGGCGCTGGCGAGCCCAGCCGCGGCAGCGGGCCCAACGACGGCGCCGTCGTTGGGCCGCCGGCGCTGGTCCCCGCCGGGGACCAGCGCGCCCGCAGGCGCCGCGGCGGCTGCCGCTGCCAGCGCCGCGCCAGCGGGCGGCGGTGCGAGGGCCCCAGGAGGCACGCCAGGGGCTGCGGGGCCGCCGAGGGCGGCGGCCAGGGCGGCGAGCCCTCCACCAGACGCCGGGGCGGCCGGGGGAGGGGACCTGCAGCTTGAAGACCACCACGCGCTCGTGCCAAAGAACTGGCGCGGCGACGCTGTAGCGGACCACGGAGGAGTCCCCCTCGTCCAGCCCTCCCGCCGACACGGGGAGCCCAGCATCGGCCGCCGAGGGCCCCCTCGCCGTGCTCAGAGCGAACGGGGCCACAGGCGCCGCGAAGCCCAGGCGCGCCGCGCCAGCGAGTGGCGGGAGACCCTGCTCGACGATGTCGGCGGCCAGGCTGGTGTCCTCGTCGTGGTCGTCGTCGTCGTCCGGGGTGAGGATCGCGTAGACCCCGGCGCCCACGGCCGCGGCCGCCACCCGCCGCTTCAGCGCGAGGGCCTCCAGGTGCTGCGCCGAGCCTGCTCCGCCGCCGGCTTGCCAACGCCCGGCGCTCGCGGGCCCAGGCGGGCCCCCGCAGAGGGCAGACCTTCCTGCACGAACCCGCCGACCACGAGGGACAGCCACCACAGGAGCACCTCGAGCGACAGGCCGCCCGGCTCCTGCTTGATTCCGGAGGGAAAAAAAAACACACACAGACACAATGAATCCTCGATTCCCAGGAAAATGTAGAAAAATATGGGAAGTGGGGGGAAGACAAAAACCTTGAAAATATGCGAAAATATGGGAAATCCTGTTATTTGTGTGTATTTATGTGTGTCTCCTGGGGCCCCTTCAGTGATGATGTCCCCGCAGCTGACCGTAGGGCACGCTGGGCAGTCACAGTGGGCCATCGGCCGACAGTCAGGGCATGGCGCGCGGCTGGCCCAGGAAAGGAAGGCGGCCGAAGACTCGGTGGTCGACGTGTTGGCCGCGCCCTCCCTCAAAAGTCACCGTGCCCCCCTCCCCCCCGAGGATGAGCATTGGGGATCAAAGCTCGGGCCAGAACCCAAGTACGGCACACCCGTCAGTTAGATGGTGCTGATCCTTCGAATTGAGGACGCACACGCGCACACACATATATGTGTATATATACACATACATATATGTGTATATGTGTGTATGTGTACGCATGTACGTACGTACGTACGTACGTACGTACATACGCACGTATGCATAAATGCATGGATGCATGCCTGCCTGCATGCATGCATCATGTATGTATGTATGTGTGTATGTATGTATGCATGTATGTATGTATGTATGTATGTATGCATATATGTATATATGTATGTATGCATGTATGTGTGTATGTATGTATGTATGTATGAATGTATGTATGTATGTTTGTATGTATGTATGCCGGTATGCATACATGTATGTATGTATGTATTTATGTATGCATGTATGTATGTATGTATGTATGTATGTATGTATGTATGTATGTATGTATGTATGTATGTATGTATGTATGTGTGTAGGTATGTGTGTAGGTATGTATGTATGTATGTATGTATGTATGGATGTATGTATGGATGTATGTATGTATGTATGTATGTATGTGTGTATGTATGTATGTATGTATGTGTGTGTATGTATAGATGTATGTATCGCTTCGGATAAGCGGCGGTCGACAACGACTAACATACCTACGATATACGAACACCTCTTACAACATTGAACACATGCCCTCCACACCAAAACAAGCATGAAGGTCACGTGTCGCAGTTCTCTGGTGGGGGAACACTCGAGGACCAACACATCCAAGTAGTGTGCTCGCCTCTCTCCTCCTTATCCTGACCCCTCACCCTCCTCCTTCTGCTCCTCCGAATTCCAATCCTCACTCCTTCCCTTGCTAATCAGGACTGGGGGCTGTTGCTTCCCACTCTCCTTCTCAATCGCTCGCCTGCCTGCCTCTGGGTGTCCTGTGCCTTCAAGAAGGTGGCGTACATGGCCGACGCTGAGGTTTAAGGGCCTGGAGCGCTGCTGCGCACAATCGGATGGTAGCGTCTGCGGGTGAGATGGAAACGACGTCAACGATTGGACACAACCTTGAGCTCCAAGAACGTCCACGAACAGAAGGCATGGGAAGCGGGAGGGTGGGCCTATGCTTGAGCACGTCGGTATGCGGGCGGCAGCATGGATCCGCACTGCAGCCTGGTTTCAATGCTTTGCAACCTGCGCGAACTCCGTACCAAAGGTCGATGCTAATGTTTCAACGCTGCGCTCGCGAATGTCGGATGAAACAGGCTCTGAAGTGCTCAACACAATGCTTGCACAACGTGTTTGTTCCTTCATCGCGTCAACACAATTTGGTGAAAGGCGTCTCCGAGAGGGGTCGGAGAGTTCGAAGAGACAGCGCAATTCGAACAGCACGATCACAAGCAGAGACGAGAACACCCGCGAGAGGGGCCAGGACATATGTACGAGGAGGCGGGAGGCAGGAGAGAAGGGTCTGGTAAGCTACGTGAGCCTCATCCTCCTCGTCCTTCCTGCTCCTCCTCTTGCTCCCTGCTGCCCTTTACCTCCCCACCGCCCCGGCAAGTGTCGATCTCAGAACAGCGATGGGACGGCATCGCTCGTAAGGATCAGACGTGGGAGAATCCTGGCAGGAAGGCGGACTCCGGGGAGAGGCCGCAGGAGGAGGACGAGGAGGACGACGAGACAACAGAAGTAGTCCACACAACATGAACAAAGCAAAGCAGCAAAAACTGAGGAGGCCACGCGCGGGAGGGAGGAGGCGACAGGAGCGAGAGCCGGGAGGGGCGTGGCCGACGAAGGTGGGGGAGGGCAGAGGCTGGGCCGCCAGGAGGAAGCGGGGCCACGAGGAGAAAAAGGCCCCGGACCCCTCATCGGCGGCGGGCGAAGGGGGGGAAATGAGAATGAGAAGGCCTTCTCAGAAGGTTCGGAAGTCCCCCGGCCCTCTGAGAAGTCTGCTATGTCTTCCGCCTTCCCCGAAAGCCACAACAACTTCTCAGAAGGCGCGAGGGCTTCTGAGAAGTCCCGCCGCCTTCTAAGAAGGCCTTCTCCTTCTCATTTCCCTCCCTCGCTCGCCGCAGACCTCAAGAGATCAGCCTTGCCTCCAGAGCAGATTTCGCTGACGGCCTCTCGGGGCCTGCCTGGGGAGCGCCCCGAGAGGCCGAAGACGGCAGACAAGAGTGGGGGGGGGCCCTTTTGGAGCAGTGGCCCTCCTTCTTCGCTGTCCTCGCGGCGGCAAAAATGATGGATGCCGGCGCATCAAGTGGCCGAAGAGAAGGGCCAAGAAGAGGTAGACTGGCACATCGTGGCCCGCGGCGCGTGCGCGGACGAGAAAGGGGGCAAAGGCGAAGAATACTGATAATAACATCAACAATCATACAAATAATACGACTAGTACTTGTACAGCAACTACTACGAATAATACCAGTAATCGTCATCATCACCATCATCACCATCATCACCATCATCACCATCATCATCACCATCACCATCATCACCATCATCACCACCACCATCACCATCACCATCACCATCACCATCACCATCACCATCACCATCACCATCACCATCACCATCACCATCACCATCACCATCATCATCATCATCCTCCTCCTCCTCCTCCTCATCATCATCATCATCACCATCTACACGGTTGGAACAAGGATAAAAAAGAGGGGGCCATGGCATCATCGGGAATATCGCGTGGCCCCGTCCGCAATCCCCCCCCACCTTCGCCGTCACCCCTCCCCCCTTGCTCGACGCCCCCGAGCGACGGCGAGGCTGCGCGTGACGGATGCCCCGTCCCGGCCGCGCCTCCCATGGCTCCAGGGGCCGAGGCCCCTCGGCCCGCGCCCCGCCGGCGGAGGCGGGGGGGAACGCGAGGGGAGGGGCCCAAAGGCTCGGGGTGCGGGCAAGACTTCTGCAGCACCCCGCGGTTGCGGACGAGGGCGATGGGGCGGGCGGGTGGGTCGCGGGGTGGGTGGGTCGCGGGGGCGACGGCGACAACGACAAAGCAATGCGTCGCGACAACGGCAACAACGACACCAACAACAAGACCAAGAGCAGCAACACCAACAACAGCGACGACGACGACAACAACAACCACAACAACAACAAAACAACAACCACAACCACAACCACAACCACAACCACAACAACAACAACAACAACAACACCAACACCAACAACAACAGCACCAACAACAACAACAACAGCAACAACAACAACAACAACAACAACAACAACAATAATCATTATAAAACTGTTCGCTGTTGCTTGCTCGAGTGTCCGTTAACGCGTATTTCTCAAACCCTCGATACCCGCCTTCTTCGTCTTCGATCATGCCCCTTTTTGGGGGTATACCTTTTTTCCCTTCAGGCCGGGCCCCGGCAAGCTGCGGGGCGGCCGCGGACCGTCGGCCTGGCCAGCGGCAGCGCTGATCGGCGGCAGCCCGACCCCAAGAGGGACAGACAGGGGACCGACCACGCCGACGACGACCACGTCGACGACGACGACGGCGGCGACGACGACGACGACGAGCGAAAGCGAGAGCGAGAGAGAGAACGACAGCAGGGCCACGAAGGGCACGAAGTAGGCCAGGAAGGACGACAGCGGGGACACGAAGGGAATGCGTATGGGGCCATGAAGAGCGCGAACGAGCGGGGGCCACGAAGGGCAGATAATTCGGGGCCACAGAAGGCAACGACGGGGACACTGAGGGTAGCAACGGTGCCATGTAGGACAACGAAGGGGCAAAAAAGGGAGACAACGGGGCCACGAAGGGCATGCACATGGGGCCACGACGGGCGCGAACGAGCGGGGGCCACGAAAGGCATACGTATATTGGGCCGCGGAAGGCAAGGACGGGGCCACTGAGGGCAGCAACGGGGCCACGAAGGGCAGCGAGGGGGCCACGAAGGGCGACAGCGAGGCCACAAAGGGCATGCAGATGGGGCCACGAAGGGCGCGAACGAGCGAAGGCCACAAAGGGCAGCGAGGGGGCCACGAAGGGCTGCAACGGGGCCACGAAGAGCAGCGAGTCGAAGGGCTGCAACGGGGCCACGAAGGGCAGCGAGGGGGCCACGACTGCAACGGGGCCACGACGGGCAGCGAGATCCCGATTCCTGAATTATCTGTGATGGGGGGGGGCTAAGTGTGAGCGCGATTCCTGGGTGCCGGGATGTCGGGAACGCGGCGCTTGAGTAAATTGCTGAAAATTCCGACGCAAGGGCGCTATTCTTGAGTACATTGCAAGCAAGTCTCCAGCGAGAGCGCGACCCCAGAGCGCCGAGACAGCAATTCCTGAATCAAGTGTACGGAAGTCCTAAACGAGAGCGCGATTCCTGAGTAAAATGCGAGGAGGTCTCGGGCGGGAGCGGGGGTCCTGGCTAAAGTGTGAGGAAGTCTCAGGCTGGAGTTGTTGTTGCTGTTGCAACCTGGGGGCCAACGACGCAGTTTGAGGAGGACGACTTTCCCTGATAAAGAACAGGGTGCGAGCGCCAGGAGGGGCACCTCAATTGAAAAACACAATGTACACCGGAGGGGGGGATCAACCATATTTTTCTTGAGTAGTGAAAGTTCAACAACAACAACAACGACACAACCAACAACGACAACAGCAAGAGCAACACGAACAACAATATTTGTTTCAGACTGTCGCTCTTATCTGCTTACGTGCCAGTCAACACGTATATCCTAAAACACCGATCCCCGCCGCATTCGTTATCGATCGTACCCTTTTGGGAGTATCAACTTCTTACCTGCTAAGTGTATTCGTGCAACCCCAAAGGCAGAGCAAGAGGACGGATGGAAGGAAGGGACGACGGGAAGGGAGGAGGATGGAACACAAGAGAAAGAGAGAGAGAGAGAGAGCAGGAGGGTTGCTAGGAGCAGAAACCACGTGGCAGAACCAGACGGGCAAATCGGGCGGGTAGACCCTAACAGGCGGGTCGGGAAGGCGGGCCCTGGCGGCCAGTTCGAGCAGGCGGGTTGCTGAATCGTGCGTCCTGCATAAATCGCGACGAAGTCTCAAGCGACATCGCGATTCCCAAATAAATCGTAAGGGGATCCACAGCGAGAGCATGATTCCTAAGTGTCGAAGAGGCGGCCAACAACACCACCACCAACAACAACAATCAGTTTACGACTGTTCGCTCTTACTGGCACGCATGTCTTGCATTCTGTATACCCCAACCCTCGGTCCCCGCCCAGTTCGTCTGCGATTGCACCCTCTTTCGGGGGAAATTTCTGCCTTGTCGGCCACGGACTGAAATGAGCACGCGGAAGTCTCGAGCGAGAGCGTCGTTCCTGAGTTCGGGGGCCTCTCTGGCCAGAGGCTCTCGAATGAAAAGCTATCGATGGGAAGCCCTTCTCGCCGTGCCTAGGCCTCCACCAACCTGCCTGAATTACGAGAAGGTCTCGAGCGAAAGTGCCGTTCCTGAGTTCGGGGGCCTTCCTGGCCAGGGGCTCTCGGAGTAAATCGTGAGGAAGTATCGGGCAGGAGCCCTTTGTCGTCGTGGCTGAGCCCCCGCCAACTTTATTGAATTGCGAGGGCGTCTCGAGCGAGAGCGCCGTTCCTGAGTTCGGGGGCCTCTCTGGCCAAGGTGTCTCGGGGAAAACAGTGAGGAAGTATCGAACGGGAGCCGTTGTCGTCGTAGCTGGGCCTCCAATGGCCCACATTTCGACTCAAGCCAACGCTCCCGCGGCAGCCTCGTTTTCAAAGAACGTTTAGCTGGCGTCGAAGCGAGAGCATGCGGAACCGTTTCCGGAGATCACACAAGTTATTTACTAGAAATGAGTGTTCAAAAGACAACAACGACAACAAAAACAGCAGCAGCAACACCACCACCAACAAAAGCAAGAGCAACAACACCAACAACTATAATCACTCACTGCGTGGAGCTCCCCATATGCGCATCTGATGTTTTATGTGATGCCATGGGGAGCGTCTGTTCATGAACGCTTGACTATAATA